TAATATAACCATTATCATCAACTCAAGTTCAATATCACAGGGATATGACAATTATAAGATTAAAAAAACGGAATTTGTTTAACACACAAATAATGCATTTGAAAGGTCAGGGGATTCTGGCAGGAGACAAATTGTAATATGTTGTTGTATTTAAGAAAAAATGCAAAGGAAAAGAGAACCCCACTCTCACTTTCTTAAATAAAAGTCAGTACGCTTAGTCCTGATAATAAAACAAATTCAAGCTTCCCGAATCCCGAACATATTCTATACAAACAAAATGGAATTAAAATATGAAAACTAACGGAAACGGTGGTGAGAAGTGCCCGCCAACCAACAGACGCACGTAAACATCGGGAAGTGGCGCCGTTAGGAACCACTGAACCCTCGACGACGACTGACTCGATGAGGACTGGCAGAGACAGAGCGGTCAGCTACAGGGGACAACGGCAATGAGGCACTTGACGACGGAGCGAGCGGCAACGGAGCGGACAGGGGCAGGGAGGGCAATGATGGAGCAGGTGGCGACGATGCTATGGTTAACTCGGGTTCGTCATTTTGCGGCTGGCTCTGGTACTGGTCTCGATCGTTTTGTTGTCGTCGTTTGACTATTTTCTTCCTATTTACGTATTTAAGGGTATTTGGGACTGATTCTGCTTCTGCTTCTTTTTTAAAGCAGAAGCAGAATCATAATCGGTTTTCAGAAGCTAGTCACCCCCAGCTTCTAAAAAAACTAATTCTAAGAGTAATTAGAGCAACAGAATCACTTATGCACTTTCAACTTCTGCTTCTGCTCCCTGAAGGAGTAAAAGCAGTTTTAAGAATCAGATCCAAACACCCCCTTATTTGAAAGGTGGGATTCATATATGTTGAAGTGTTCAACTCATACACAATATATAATTTACATCTATACATTATACAATGCCAAAAAATTACTTCTATAGAATTGATATCCTATTTTTTAAATTGTTATGTTTAATAAGAGGGTAAATTTGACTTTAGACATCATTTTTTGTTTGATATTGAATTTTGCATCCCATTATGAAAAAACTTTGATTTTACACATCATTTCATTTAACAATCTTTTGACTTTGCATCTCGTTCATGAATATTTCTTCACAAAATGTTAGATTATGGAGTGCAAAGTTAAAGTTTTTAAAATGGGGTGCTAAGTTCAACATCTCCCAAAAAGTAGGGTGTAAAGTCATATTCCTCGTGAATAAAACATATCCAAAGAGAATATTATATGATCGTCTAGAGCCTCATAATTGTTGTAGACAACCCTAATGAAGTCATCATTGTTATAATCTATTTAAATAACAATAAAAGTCATGTATTGGCATATGAACTGACATATAATACAATATCTCAATGTTGTTATTCATTAGTGTAAATTTTAGATTAATAGATTTTGGTCAAACTTTAATCATGATTTTTTTGCTAGAAGTATTATTATGACACATTTAAATTAATCGTCACCAAAAGATCAGAGGGCTTGAATGATGAAATAATATTGTCATTATTTAATATAACAATAAGTGACAAAATATGATGTTGTCATCATAAATAAAATTACGTGGCACAACTTATATCATCGTTAATTTTTGTTAATGTGTCATCAAAACATTTTCCTCCAAAATTTTGCTGTCAAAATTTGGCGCAAAAAACTTAGTTGACAAATTTGTTTTTATCGTCATGTATTATATAAATTAGTGACGAAGTTTGAGAGTTAATGTGACACATAATGATATTGTCATAAGAAAGCATTATAAAGTGACGAATTTTAGTTTTGTAACTATTAGTCAATAAAATGTGACAATTTTTTATGCGTCATACAAGTTTTTGTCACAAAATGTGTTATTTATTGTAGTGTAAGGTTAATGATTACATGTTTGTACAAATGCCATCTGAGATGAGGATATATTGGATCTCCAATTGAATATCGTTATGCGAATTCGACAGTAACATGTTGTAAGAGACACACTGTATTCTTCATAATGGTGAGGTGTATCCTACAAACGGTTGTACCTTAAGCACGCTACAACCGCGTTTTTTTTGTAATATAATGGAATCTTAAGGTTGTCAACATATGAAGCGTAGGGAAAATTGCAATCGAGGTTATGATGCAGGCGGATTGCACCAACATCTACTTTTGGAGCTATGGAATCTGTCGTTCTTGGTGGAATCTGCTGCAACCATCAATAAACACTCTCCCCTAATACATCTTTCCCATCGGTGAACGATTAAACCCACCGAGAGTTCAAAAACAAAGGATCAAGAAACATGGCTGCTACCTCAACTCTCTTTGCGGCATTTAAACCCGAATGAAGTGAAAACCATCCACAAAGCTCCGAATGAAGTGAAAACCACCTACCTCAACTTCATTATCACTATTCACCGCGCAAATTCTTTTCCGCAAACCATCCTGGCATCCCTTTGCAATTACAAGCTCCTATTTCGGGTGATCTGGAAGACAATTTTTTATAATAAATCTACTTCTTCTCTATATTATAAAAATGAGTTTTATGTTAAACACAAATGAGCACAACGCCTAAAAGGAATGAACATGCACAAATGACCTTTTAAATGTTATGAACTTACGATAGTCATTTTGTAAGTTATGTATGCTCATTTGGCACCCGTATTATGCTCATTTTGAAATGTTATATCAATGCATATTTCAATAATATCATATTAGATTAGATTCACATAGGAGTTGATTATAGACATAGGGAGTAGATCATGATAATCGCATGAAAATGCTCAACTAATAAAACTTACAATTTTCATATTAATGTTCATCATTAAGTAAGTTGTGTGGGCTCATTTGATACTCTTGTCATGCTCATTTTTAAAATTCCACATCAATGCATATTTCAAAAGTACCATATTACATTAGATTCCCACATTGAAATTCATATGAGTTGATTATAGATATAATTTAATAAGTTTTTATAAAAGAAACAATAAGAAAAAGAAAGTGAATTAGAAGATATGAATCATAAACTGCGATGCTCAATATTGTGCTCCTAGTACTCAACAATATAGGCCTGATAGTCACTAAAAGTGCATTATTACTCATTTAACAGAAGCTGAGATTTCCACACAATTTACAAAAATGTCACCGGCTGTACGATGCAACCCGTACAGTCGGTTGTACGGTATAGGGACTCCTTCATAATTCCTTAATGAAACTGGATGTTCCTCCGTCTCTATATATGAGGTAATGTTAAAAGTGAGTGTGCCTATGATGCAATGAGGAAACTAGATCAATCATTGGACTTTTGTAATGACTCTCAGCTTTTAGTGACACAATTTAACAAGCATATTAATGAAGCCCAAATACTGGCAAGGCCAATCGCGGGCCGAAAGCATCTCATCCATAGGCTTACATTGACTCCATTTGATGTGAGTTTGTCTTTCACCTTTCAGCGTATTCGATTCTATTAGATGATTAACAATGCAATGACGACTAATAAAAGTTACGAACAAACACTTGGAAACTGTGGGGTATCCTTACGGTGAGTTTTTTTTACCTATAGGCAACCTTACATCGTTGTATCTAGTCACAAGTTCAATTGATTTAAAATTTCTTATATGTGATGACAATGGTAGACCGATAAAATATACATTAGTTGTTGTGTACAAAGAGGTATTAAACAATTTATAATGTTTAATTTAAATATAAATAAAATTGAGTACTATAAAGTAAAATAACTTTTCACCCGTGCAATAAACGAGTGAGAAAACTAGTAAAACAATAAACCTGTGTTGTCTAAATTTCTTTAAAAATAAAGAAATAACATAAAGTTTTCAATATTTGCGTGGTTGGTTTTATAGTTTGCACATTAGAAAATAACTTTACACAATTCAGCGCGCGAAAGCAAAATTTACGTGTTTGGTAAAAAAGTTGGCTGATAAGTCTGATAAGCCGAAAATGAGGGTTGCCAAACGGCCTCTTAATGCTTTCGCGCGCTGAAAAAGTAAGGTTGGAGTTACTTTTCTGGCTGTATTGGCTGAAGTTACTGTAGATGACCATTTTAGTTATTTTTACATATAATTTTTTCTTTATTTTATTAATAAAATATATTTTAAAAATATTTTTTTCTTGTATTAGCAGAATCAGCCAATGCAGCCACTTCAGTCGGAACTTCATAAATTTCAGCAGAATCAGCCAGAACAGCCGATTTTCGTGCTGCCAAAGGGGCTCTAGGTGTTTCAATAATTTTTAAAAGGCATTTTAATGCTTGCCGATGGGACATCTCATCAACTCCCTAATTTGCTAGACATGTAGCATCCTTTTTAGAGATGATGTTTTTTATGTTTAAATTAGGGACAATAGAGAACACTTTCAATTACTGTTTTCATAGACAACGCTAGTTCAATGTGAATAGCATCATTCCCAAAACCCAACACAAAATATTCAATGTTTGGATGATTTCAATGAAATGATAATTAAAGAGATAGTAGGAGTTTAAAATGATATCTTTTATATTAGATCCAAGATAATCATCTGTACTCTTACAACACACTGAGATATACTAGTATATTCTAATCACTCAATTTTTTACAAATTCTATTCATTAATACATTTGCTACAATGAAATTATTAGCATTAAAGTTAACCATGATTTCATTTATTGAAAAACGTACACTTGTCACGATGAAAGATGAACAATTAATCTCTACTATATGCAATTGTAACTTGTAAGGAGATATTTATAGACTTAAAGTAATAGAAAGAAGTTTGGAGGTTAGTGTCCGATCAATTTGATTTTACAAACCTTATTTTTTTGGAATTATAATATTAATGAGAATGAAGATATTTATATGTACTATTATATTACTATTATATATCTCATTAAAAGTTAACAACAAAAATGTTCTTGCTAATTTTATACGATTTGGAGGTTGTATGAGTTGGTACTTGGTAGAGTGTATTGGTAGTGTGAATGTGTATATTGTAGGAATAATGTCAAATCCTACTCGGCCAACTTTTATCAGAAAAACAAACAATTTTTTGTTATACAGTGGAAAATCGGAACTCGGCTTCTTTTTCTTTTTGCTGCTTTTATCTTGCTTTTGTCTTTCATGGTCTTCGATGAAAGCTCATTCTGTCCCCCCCTATATCTCTTTCGGCAAATACGCATAGTGTAGAGAGTCTCGGAGACTGCGAGGAGTCAAGAACAGGGAGAGCTACACATCAAGCTATATCAGAATAATAATGGATGTGAGTCTGTAATTAGATGGACGAGTTGCATCGAGCTTGACTCGCTCACTCACTCACTAGTCTTGCCTGTGCTGGATGTACAAATGGGTTCGGAGCAGCATAGATTTGCTCCCCTGCTGCAACAGCATCCGCCACCGCCACCGCCACCGCCTCGTCTGTCCGGGGTACATCCCAGTCCCAGATCTACATTATGCTATGATTGCTATCCCCGACTTTACTTTGATTTTGTTTATGTATGTGTGAATGGGTTGGATCCATTTCTCCCGTGTTGGTAGCTAGGTGTCATGTTTCCATTCATCGATCATCACTTGTTCATTTGCAGGCATTTTCTGTGTAAAACCTTGAATTCTTCTCTCTTATCCATTTCTGCTTGATCATGTGCTATGCTCATGTGTCGACGCAGATCTGATCTTGATGACCTGGGCATACGATTACATCCTGTTCTGTCAATATCTGGGAAGCGATGAATCTCGTTTCTCACAGTCTAATGAAGTTATTTCTCTCCATGCCACCTTTATTATTCTAGACTAGAAATAATTGTTTTGTATCATGGCCGAAAGATCAGGATTGCTCTGGCTTTTCATAGTCCAATGAGAAATAACATCCTGCCTCTGTTGGCATTCCACTGGGAGTAGAACTGTGTTTTGCGTGAGAAATTACAGGCTACCACTAACTGATATGCTAATTGTTGTTTGATTGCTAGTAACTAATCTAAATAATCCCAGTGATATTACAGTGGGTTGAGGTTAAAAATATACAGGAATAAATGATAAGGATTCCATTGCTAAATTGCTAATAATTATGTATATGCTCATTCTATGTAGTAGTTATTAGTTTCCGCTTCAATTTATGGATGCAGACTAATAATATTTTTTCCCCAATATAAGACTTCTGTAGATGCCTTCCTCCATCTTGCAATGTTTGACCTTTACAGATATGTATTATAAAAAAACTGTCTAAGTTGTGTCTCTGTGCTTGTACTTTACACACTATTTTGCAGTGAGTTACAACTTACACTTGTCATTAAAATTTGCATGACCACATTTCGATTATTACATATTTTGGGGTTATGTTATTATTGTTAGTTCCTTGTTTTTTATCCTTATATATATAAGCATTATTTGTATCCTTTTTATTTTATCTTTTTTATGTATATTCATCTCTTTTTTATATTATCTTTTTATAATAGCTTATCTTTTTTATCTTTATTTTCTTTCTTTTCCTTTTGGTGGTGATATCATGTATCGATTCATGTTAGCCGACCCCAATATCTTTTGGGACTAAGGCTTGGATGTTGTTGTTGTTGTTGTTATTCTTGTTAGTATTATTGTTATTAACAATTAACATTGTGCCCCTTGTTTGAGGGATCCAGGTAAGCTTTTGTAGTCACATATTAGAGTTTCATAGAGGGGTGGTTTGGAAGAATTTCAGTCTACCATAACAATAAAGAGTTTCATAGAGGGGTGGTTTGGAAGAATTTCAGTCTACCATAACAATAATGAGTAGTAGTCTTTTGAGAAAGAATCTTAACAAGTACTCTGTATTGTTTTTCTATCCTTCATTGAGACTATTTTGACCTTCACTTTAATCATAAATTCAAACAGTTGAACAGTTCTATTGTGTGCTTGCGGTGACTGGCTAACTTATGCATGTATCAAAGAATGAAATAGAAGAATAAAGGGAAATGACTTAGGGATGCACAATCCTAGATTAAGATCATGTATTCATCATCATCAAAATTAGTTGGGGTAGGTGCTTCTAGCGCCAATTAGGTGAATCTATAAAATTAATAAACACGATACATTCATGCAGAAAAGCATAGTGCCAGTGTTTTACGCTGGATGCCCTTCCTGTTGCAACCTTCATAAGAATGAATATTAAGATTAAAATTCTAAAACCGTCATCATTATAGGTTATTTCCACAAGCCACATGCTGGGATATTACCACACAATGGAAATTACTTGTGGTATTTGTTATTGTCATGTCTAACATGATTGAAATTGCAAGACCAATATGCAACTCATGGAAATGACCTATTCAGATCATGTATTCTGCGTACTATTTCTGTTTATGGGACAATGTTGTGGATTGTTGTCCAGTAAACAAGGAGCTACTAGCATCAGCATCACATAAGGAATTTGGATGATCTTATGTGTATTTAACAAAACTGATTCAAATAGAAAAAATAATGAGGGGTTGCAAAGTTATATGCGGAGACATCCTAACATGAGCTTTTATAACTCTGATCTATATGCCTTGTTTGTTTTTTCCTTTTTCTATGTTGACTAGAATTATATGGTAATGTCTTTGCTGTTCACTTTACCATGTTATGCTGCATTTCTTTGAGCTTACCCACATAAAAATAATAAGTGTTCTTAAAATTTGACAGTGTAAAAGATGGGTCGGATGTTGGAGTGGTTTGTCTTGTTTTGGCCGTCAAAAAGGTGGTAAGCGTATAGTGCCTGCTTCTCGTATCCCAGAGGCCAATTCATTGGGAAATAGACCCCAAGTGGGGGGTGTCAATAATAACCACACCACAGGACTGGCACCATCACTTTTGGCCCCGCCTTCTTCGCCTGCATCTTTTTCAAATAATAATTCAGCACTCCCTTCAACAGCTCCGTCCCCAAGGTGTTATTTAAGTGCCAATTCCCCTGGAGGCCCATCATCAACTATGTATGCTACAGGTCCATATGCCCATGAAACACAACTGGTGTCCCCTCCAGTGTTCTCTACCTTCACAACTGAGCCATCCACTGCTCCTTTCACACCTCCACCAGAATTAGCACATTTGACCACACCCTCTTCCCCAGACGTGCCTTATGCTAGGTTCCTTTCCTCTGTGGGTGTTAAATCCACTGAGAAGACATCCCTTCTTGTTTCTAGTGATCTTCAATCAGCCTACTCGTTATATCCAGACAGCCCTGCTAATTATAATCTCAGGTCACCTGCTTCAAGGGCCACTGGAGACTTCTTGCCATCACCATCTAGTGAAAGGGAGTTACCTTCTGTTGCTTCACAAAAGCTCAAGTATCCACGGTCTGATTCAGGAAGGCTCTATGGACCTGATACAGCGGGCAATTCCAAAATGTCACATGATTCAAATTTCTTCTGCCCAGCTACATTTGCCGAATTCTATGATCAATCATTATTTCCTCATTCGGGAGGCAGGCTAAGTGTTTCTAAGGAGTCTGATGCTTATTCGAATGCTGGAAATGGTCATCAGAGCAGGCACAGTAAAAGTTACAAGCAAGAGGCTGATGAGATTGAAGCTTATCGAGCATCTTTTGGTTTCAGTGCTGATGAAATGATTACTACTTCCCAGTACGTGGAGATTTCTGATGTCACGGATGAGTCATTCAGCATGGTGCCCTTGGCATCCGATAAGTGTCAAGGAAGGGAAAATATACAGATCACGTCAACAGAAAAGAGGAACCAGTCAGAGAAAGCTCAAGAAATCATGTTCATTCCACAATATTGTAAATCAAGCTCAAATGATGCTGATGTGCCAGGCAGTAATTTGAAAGGTGCATGTGATAACTCTCTAGTTACAAAATTTTATGAATAAAAGATGCACTTGAATTTGTCTCATAAAGTTTCCTAATTCATTTATATTTCTCAGTTTGTGTGGTTTAATAATTTTTTCTTACTTTGAATCCAGACTTCCAGTTTTCGTCTAGTATATATTTCCATTTTCTGTTTAAATATTTCTTAGGAGTCAATTACTCAAAAAGAATTGTCGTGGTGCTTTTTATTTATCCTTGTTGGATGAATTTCATTGCCTGATTGCCAACTCTTTCTTCCCTTCTATCTCAGATAATTGTTCAAAAAGAGATCTGAGTAATGCATATGGACCCAATAGACATGAGCAGCCTCTTCTGAGTGATGATGAGGATATCTTCTCTAATATTGGAAATTCCAGACATTGTCGTAAATACCCCCGTGGTTCGTCTACTTCCGATGCAGAGGTTGAGTACAGAAGGGGTAGAAGTCTGAGAGAAGGCAAAGGCTGGGCTGCATGGCAGGAGTAATTTCTAGATACTGGCTGGTATTGTTTACTGCTTTCATATTTAGAACATTTTGGGATCGAGCCTCTGGTCTAACTTCTGCACTTGCTCAGTTCTATGGTGTTTTATCAACCTATAAAAGGAACGGAAGTAGTCCGTCCCTTTATTTGAAGTTTCCATAGTATATGACAATTGTAATTGTATGATATATATAACTTAATGAAGGAGTCTAAATGTCTAATGGAACTTTTGTAAAGCCGTTTTCTATATTTTCGTAAGCATAAAAGCCATGCCACAGCCGTCTTTTTGGCCTGATGAAGGTATGGATTTGTTTGAGCTTCACGGGGTTCTTAATCACGGAACTAGCAAGGCCATAGTTCAGGGAATCCACAGCTTACACTGCACTCTTTTAAATCTTTTTTAGGTGTGGTTGCTTTGTTAAAACAAGTCTTCAAGTTGAATGAGTAAAGATTCAGGAAATATGTACACCCCAGGAACTGAATATTGTGAATTTGTAAGGTTTAAATATGAGAATGGATAACTCTACGGTTCTTTTCATTCTTCTTCTTTTTTGGAAAATTGATAAATAGAAAACATGTTTATTTTACTTCTGAATTTCGAAAGCAGAAAAACATGAGCTGTTGGCCAATTGAAAATAGCTCACGTTTTCTAAAAACATTTTCCATGTTTGTTTATATTTGATTTGGTTTTTGAAACTGTTCTTCATTTTAAATAAAATAAGACATTTTAATGCAAACTTGAAGTAAATAAACTCATCTGAGTATCTGACAACTACAACAACATTTGCCAGAATTTGGAGTGACAACTACAACAACATTTGCCAGAATTTGGATTCTCTCCGATGACCGGAGAGTTCCATTTGGATAAAGAAAAAGACAGTAATAGATAAGAAGTAAGAAAGAAATGGAGAAGAAATAGAGAGAAAAATGGAGAAAAGTTGGACTTGCCAATGTGACATATCTGCCATGAAAGTCATAGCCATAATTGCCTCATTGGTCACAATTGTCAATCATTGACAACCCCATCAGTATTAAAGAATCTTGTCAAAAAAGTGCCATCACAACTAGATTTTCCTCAACTATTATGGAAAAATTATTTGTAGATTTTTTTGTACACATGTCATTGTGGACATGTTATTTTTTGTACACATGTCTGTGGACAATGTTATTTTTTGTCTTTGAATAGCCTATTCAAAGACAAAACAAACATATTTTGCATGTGACATTCACAAACAAAAAAATAGTTTGTTCACAGATATGTGTACTGGTGTACAAAAAAAATGTATACAACAAGCAAGATTTAATTGCTATAGCAACCCATATCACCATTAACCCTACCACTAGCATTGTTGATCAAAACCACCACCTTATGACATTCGAGATGGAAGGAATTATAGTCAGTCACGAGTTCACAATTGACAATCAACACCACTACTGTCTCTGATGATTGTGATTTTCGGTAAAAGTGACCACCACACATTTTGCACCCTCCACCATAGCCCAATAGAGGAGACCATCACCATTATTGAAGACTCCTTTGGCAATCGTGACAAACTAATCATCTGTGATAGCAACATTTTAATGAGATAATGATTAACGTCTCTCACAACATAACCACAATGACTAATCATCTATCAGATTATTACTATGAATCGTAAATGCCACTAACCACCTTACAACAACAAAAAAGCATAGAAGAACTAGACAACAACAGAGCATGACATAAAAAATTGAGAAAAATAGACAATTTTGAAAATTTAATAGTGAGAGATGAAAAATAGAAAACCGAAACAAATGGACCTAGTACTCTTTATTGACCATCAATCTAGATTTTCGCTCCATAAAAGGTGTGTTTGGTAAATGTTTTATCAAACTTTGTTATTTTTTGTTGATTTTTGATTTAGTTTATTTTATATCTATATAAAATAAGCTAAACTCAATAAAAATTCAACAAAAAAGAACAAAGTTTGATAAAACATTTACCAAACACACCTTTTAGATCTTGGGTGGTGCACTGTTGGAGAAGTCTGATTTGGTTCATAGGATACCTGAAACCAAAGAACTACCTCATAGATCCTAACAAAAACTTTTGTAAAAAAAGTTAACCAACCACACTCCGGTCAAATTGTAGAGAACTGCCTCATAGATCATTATATAAAATTTTGTTACAAAAAATTAATAGATCAATATAATTGTATTATTGTAGAGAATGAAAGCATACATGGATTTTGTATTCTTAAATAAATCACATAAGTTACATAACAACTTAAATTCGTACCCGCACAGGTAGCTCAGTTGGTTTAGTGTTGGGAAATTTGGAACAATGACCAAGATTCGAAACCGGCCGTATGGAGGTTACAGCTCCTGCGTGCTGGGCCTCTGATGGGCACGGGTAAAAGGCCTACCAATCTATCATCATTGGGCCGGCTGAATCACCGTAACTTACATCCTCCTAAAAATCGGGGGCTCCTGGGGTGGAAGATTCCACCTTTTGGAACAACTAAGAAATTCATAATAAGTACTCCCTCCGTCCCTTATAACTTTGCCATCTTTCATTTTTTGGATGTCCCAAAAACTTTGCCACTTTCCCTTTTAATCAATGAATTTGTGGTTCATATTATTTCTCTCTCCTCTGCACATATCTCAACCACACAAATTTTACTTTATTATTTCCCGTGCCAGTCAAACATGACAAAGTATTGAGGGACGGAGGGAGTACAATTTCTAACACTAGAAAACCAAAGGCTTACAATGATATTATGATTAATTCTTAACATGTAACAAATAAAATTCTATATTATAATAGTTCAATGATTCAATCTTTCGGTACAGTTCCGTTTTGAAAGGCCGAAATGAAAACTGAACCCGGTTTAATTCAGCTTTTTGCATTCAATTTCATTTTTTTTGCGATCAGGTTTAGTTTGGTTACGATCTATTTAGATTAGGTTTTCCATTTTCAGTTTTTCAAACTGAACCCTACCACCCATAATATGTTTGACAAATATTTACTCAAAGCGATGCTTGAATGAATACAATTAGGGGGTTGATCAGAGTTGATGGGCTTCGTCTGATTCTCACATCTAAATGTACTGTGATAATCATACAACTAGCTAGATACAAGCACATTGAAAGCAAATAATTACCCCTAAAAAATGATCAACTGTTAAAAAAGAGCCACTACTGGTCAATGTGACCCTTGACTTTGGAATTTTGCACTATCCATTAATAATAACAAGCAAGAACTATCAAATAAACCCCCTAACTTTCATAAAAAGCACAAATAAGCTCTTTTATAGGAGGCTCTGTCTGGCCGTCGACATTTGGGGCGATTTCCGTTGAACTTTTTTGATGAATTATTAAGTCTAGGGAATCTTCATTAAGTCTAGTTTACTCATACCAAATTTTAGCTAAAAATTCAATCAGGAAAACAGTCAAATGAATTTTTGAAGATAACTGCGCGGTTAGGAGCACATTATATTTCAAAAAAATCATTTGACTGCCTTCTCGATTGAATTTTTAACTGAAATTTGGTATGAGTAAACTAGACTTGATGAAGAAGATGCTCAAAAAACTTCATCAAAAAATTCCACTAGAATCGCCCCAAATGGCAACAGCTAGACAAAGTCTCATGTAAAAGGGCTTATTTGCACTTTTTATGAAAGTTCGAAAGCTTATTTGATAGTTCTCCCTAATAACAATGACGACGACAATAATAATACCCCGTATTAAATAAGTAAATAATATTCCGTAAATAAGTAATGAACAATGAATCTAAACCAGTTGAGATGCATAGGTTCATATAATGACAACGACAATAGTAATAAATAAGTATATAAATAAGCCATAAGCCAGTTGAGCTACACAATTTTATATAATCAGGCTAACTAACTACGAGTAATTAAAAGGCCATGGACTCAGCAGCACCATTGGAAAGAAATCTCATTCCTGATACTCTAATTGAGATGCATTTTCCCCATGAGATCCAATACAGCTGAAACAATCTCGTTGACACTCATCAGGAAAAAGAATCAACTGGTCCTTAATTTAGTTAGAAATTTAGAATTGCTCGAAAACCAGCACAGACTGTATAGCTTGTAAACTGAATTAAAGGTTGACATTTTCAGGTGACAACCGTTTCATAAACTTTGCAGTGGCAATCAGAAACATTAAGCCTTTAGATGGAATGATTGATCATCATGCCAAGCATTGAAGACACCTGCCTCATTATTGTTATTGTTAAGCTGCAGTTTCCATTGGATAAATCCTCAAGAATAACATGCAAGTGAAGAGGGCAGCTTTCTCCACTCCTTACATCATGAGCACTTACCAAGTAAAAGAAGGAAGAACATATGTTGGAAATGCATCATGTCTCAAAGCAAGAGCACGTACAGAAGTAATATCCGCGACTTCTCCAAAATTTTCAAGTCCAAGTTCAGCAGCATGGATCCCACCAGTAATAAATGTAGAAGAAATCCCAGATGCATTTGCACCTTTGATGTCATGGTGAAGTGAGTCACCAACAGCAATACACTCAGAAGCATCTACACCAGTCATGGCCATAGCAGACTTGTATATAACCTAGCACAATATATATCACAAAATCAAAATGCTTAGGCAATTACTTTTAACATTGGCATGTAAAATTATTATACACATAAACCGTGGGGAATATTGCGAGATGTAGGCCTAGCAACCCAATAAAAAGCAGAAGCAGAGATAAGGGAATCAAGTAAAGGAAGGACTCAAAAACTCCCTGTCCCTAAAAAACCCAATGGGCGTAAAGTACAACTTTTTTTATTCAACTCAATCTGGTTACAAAATATACATCTTCATCTTTTGATTTATCTTGGGAATATGATGGAATAAAGCAAAATGACTCACTAAACTGTCTACGCTTCTTTGTTATGAAGCAACAATCAGTCCATGTAATTTTCGACATGATTTTCACTATGGGTCATCCAGAAACAGTCTCTTTGTGCATCAATACATGGGTAAGACTGCGTACATCCGACCCCCCTTACCCCACCTACGGTGGGAGCCTTTGCGACACTGGGGTGATGATGATGATGATGAAGATGCAAATAATAGCATGCCCATCAGCTATATTAATTCAAAGAAATTGCCCTTCAAAGGAGTAAAAACAAGGCGATTTGCGTAAATATGAGTACTAAATTCCCCCTGAGAATAAGATCATACTGCCATCTTTTAAAACCTCATGATGTCATAATATGGCAGTATGATTTTAGTATGGCATCACTTTACTCCTGTTTAGGAGAAAAACTTGTTCACTCCTATTTAGGAAAAAACCTTGTTCACTCCTATTTAAGAAAAAACCTTGTTTTTACTCCTATTTAGGAAAAAACCTTGTTTTTACTCCTATTTAGGAAAAAAACTTGTTTTTACTCCTATTTAGGATACTTCCCTATTATTTATTACTCCTATTGTTGACTGCTATTATTTTCTTTTACAAAGGCTTTACAGGAATTTCACGTAAAAATGAAAGTTGACTTTTAAGACCCGACTCTTTCTTTAGGACTTGAAGTTCTTGAAACAGAACAAGAACGAGCAAAAAACATCCTATATTCCTATATATAAGAACATAAGGTACACAAAGAATCCTAAAGAATGTACTACCAAGAACATAAATTTTAGAAATGTCACTGCAAAGTACTAATATAAACAATCTACAATTTTATTTTTTGAAATAAAAAAATTGGTCGGTCACCAATTGTCTGTTGCTAGTCTCTGGTATTACAATGTATGGTCACCATTTTTACAATGCATAGTCACCTCGTCAACTTTTTTCAATCATAGATCTTTACTTTTTGCCAGCCGTTGCGGTGAACTAGTGAAGTTCTTAAAAACTTCAAATAAGTGTTAACATTATCAATAATGGAAAGCTCCTCTTCCAAAAAACTGATATTTACTCATGAATAGATGACATCAAAATCATATTTAGGTTCTGATGGTTTCTAAAAATATGGAAAATGTTTTGTAGAATTTTCTATGCTGGCACAGGAAAATATTTTCCTGGAAAGGTTTTGCTTTCTCTGGCAAATGTTTTACAAAAACCTGTGCTCAGAACCATGTATGATTGCTGATATATAAACAAAGTGCACAGCCTTTTAGCACATTTAGTGCTCTATTGAAATAGCTGCAGAACTACTATTACAAAAATAAGCAAAAGTTCATGGGGTTGTAATGGTCGTTATTTGCAAGTGTGAATAAGATTTGCCAACACTCAAAGGTGGAGGGCATCCGATAATGTAATCACCTTATCAGGCTTTCCCATCCACTTGACTTCCCCACCAAGTTGTTCATATTTGGCTGCTAATGTTCCTGATTATGGAAACAAAAAGAATAAAATAATGGAAGACAAATTAGATCATGAATACTATGATAAATAGAGTTCTTGTATAAGATTCCACAAAATTTTCATACTCGTGCATAGCCATAGAAGTAAATCCTTCTACTAGTAACATGTTTACCAGGCATAACACGCAGATCCCTAGCCTCAACAGTCACAAAATCAGGATTGGCCACTACCATAGGAATTCTTCTAGCAGCACACTGCTCTATTATTTTCTCAAGATCTTCAAGGGTCATTGGGATTGCAGCTCCAGAGCAATGCCCTATGGCCTCAGTACCATGAGCCAAAATAAAATCAGCTTCTTGAACATCTTCCACAATTTGTAACCCTAGGCCCTAAAGTAAAAGGGGTTCCAACAATTTTAGTAATAATTGAAGCTTAGACATGAGTACATGACCACAATTTACAACATTGCATTATTTATAAGATGAGATGCACTCATGCATGTCAAACCACAAGGTTGATAAGAGAATATGGATTAATAAAACCCTAAATCCTAAGTTGATTTTTCAACTTTGTTCAAGCTTTACTTTTGCTCATATGAATATAGCGAACCTTCTATGTATTTCCTTATTAAAGTCACAGTTGGTTTTATTCCTCGAAGAAAGTTAAGGATTCCGCATACCTCAAGAGATATAGCCCCTCTGTCATTCCAAGTCATATGAATGCAGGACCTCCCGAGAGCAGCAAACCACGAATCATCTCTCCTATGCAAATTAAATGTCACGAGGAAATTGTTCAGTTGCTTACATGTATGTCAATATAATAAAGCTGTCACATTCAAATAGAGTCATATAATGCAATCCAAAAGTTTAAATGATAAATGATTCACTATGGAACAACAATATCTCATGATTTGACACCCTCGAAGACACGCCTATATGAGTATCACCAAAAACCACCAAGCAACTCTATCACCAAGGCTTATCCATTTAACAATGAGGAATTATCTGAATTTCTTTATTAGAAAATAAAGCCATGCATTGACCATATGGTAATCAACTCTGCACTGCAATCTGCATAAAAACCTCTGCAGGTACTGGTGAGTCAATTCTCCGCTTGTAATTGCTCCCATAAAGAGAGATGGATCAAATCCAAGACTCTTCAATTTTTCCAGGGTCGCTGATGCCCTCCTTGAAGAATTACTGATAACCACCACTTTTGCACCAAACTTTGCCAATTTTTCCACTGCTCACAGATGGATGGTAATATTAGCAAGTAGCAAAACAAGAGAACTCAAAATGTCTTGAACTAACAAATTGGTGACCTTAACAAAATAGGTCAGCTAAAACATACATGTTGAAATGGCCCCAGGGTAGGGTTTTTTTCCATCATGAAGAACTCCAAATTGATCCAAAAACCATGCCTACAAAGACAATTATTTTCCTAAAAATGTCAACAGACAATGAAAATAAAAACCACTTAAGAATTAGCATGTACTATGTATTAATTATGTGATCTTACATGTGAGAAGTCTAATTATCATTACCTAGCTTAGATTCTTAGCAATTTAGCATAATCTGGTAAGTCTTATATTACATTCCATGTGATACCACTCAAGTTACCTGGAATGTGGCCAGTCAGCATGGCCCAACCGCCCAGTAGACGGCTGTTGGGTCAGACAATATCATTTCAATAGTCATGTTGGACGTTGTCTGGTTTATTGTTTTCCCTTTCTTTCATCTCTTTCATTACAAAACACATTTTAAAACCTAGCGCTCTACACATTCAATATATCAAAGGAAAAGAAATCTATTTTATTATTATGGGGGTGTTTGGAACTGATTCTTCTTCTGCTTCTTTTTTAAAAGAGAAGCAGAATAAGAATAAGTTTTCAGAACCTGGGGACCCCAACCTCTAAAAAAACCTGATTCTAGGAGTAAATTAGAGCACCAGAATCACTTTCTTCACTTTCAACCAAACACCCCTTAAGTAGTAATCCGTATCAGTTATTACCTATTTAGAAGCTCAGTAAGCTCAAAGTCTGGTTCCTGCTGGAAAGGGTTCGTTTGGTAACTAACGTTTAAATTTAAGAACTTAAAATACGATCAGCTGGTTTGTTATATAACTCTCATTATCATGAGAGATAGTTTTAGAATGCTGAAAAGGGACCGATTACAAGAATCCGCTACTGCAGCATGCATTTATGAAATTTAAAAAGCCAAGTAACTGATTATAAGGAAACCAAGAAACTGATAATAAAGAAATTGAAGGAGGAAATACTTGTAGAATACAATGTTTCCATACCTTGAATCTTCGAGTTTCAGCAAGATGGCGAAGGCCACTCAACGTTTGAAACTGGAAAAGATCATTTGGCTTTGCGGAATTATGAAGCGAGGAAGATGATAAACTACAGCTGCGTATTGTGTTCATCTCGGTATGCTGGTCCTTCACTTTGGGATTTGGGAGTGCTTCATATCTTGAAATTGAATGTTCGAGTATCAAATCTGTTCTTTTGAACATGAGGAGTAACAAAGAAGTCAGATCAATTCTAACCCACTTTCTAACTCAATATCTGAATCAAAATCTGAATCTGATTGAATTATAGTATGCCAACATAAAATGAGCATAAATTGAAATCAAAAGATCATACATAACTTACAAAATAAGTATAAAAAACTCAAAAACTCATTTGTGTATGCTCATTCATTTTGGATGTTATACTCATTTGAGTTTAACATAAAACTTATTTCTAATGTGCTCAATATTCATTTGTGTCTTTTTCATTCCTTGTAGGTGCATACTAATTTGAGTTTTATATAAAATTCATTTGAGATCAATAATAACAAAAATTCACTAGCAACGGAGTAGACCTCATTGTCTCTGAAAATCACAAGTTCAAACAACAAAACTGCGTAAGAAAAAGAAAAAAGGAAAAGATTGGAAAGAGGGAGGAGAGGTAACTATGTTTGAGCCGCTGCGTTCGAGCGAAGAAGGGGCAAGTGGTGAGCGGAGGCGGCGAGCAGCGAGCTGGAGGAGAAGGGGGTGAGCGTTGGCAATCGAGAGCCTGGTGCAAAGCCAGATCGAAGAAGTCTGGTGCAAAGATAGATTAAAGAAGCGCATAAGCCCAAGAAAAGCCCGACTGTACCGTGCGCATGGTACAAACGGCTGTACGATATATTTTATCGGGATTTGGATGTTATATGAGAAATTCAGGTCCACCCAGGCAATTACTTCCTCCCGCACCAAAAGAAGTTCCCATTATTTTAAGTGTTGTCCGTCTCAGACCAGACGTAAACATATATGATCAAATCAGACCAGATTTAGACAGTTATAAAATACAAAAAGACCATACATTTACCAGATCAGACAAGTTTAGACAAGACTAAATCATACCGGACTTAAACAGACCAGACTAGACCAGACTAACAAATTCCAGTCCAACAGAAAACATCCTAATACACACATTTATGTGATACAGTTTTATTTTGACTTTCCAAATATTTGAGATATTTTTGTTTGATTAATAAATTGCACTTTTGGTCCTTCGAGTATTACATCAATTCCATATTTGGTTCTATGCTTTTTTACTTTTACCACTTTTAGCACATTGCTGTTACTTTTCGCATATTTGTGATCCTTCTGTTGATATGTCCGATAATTAAAATCGTCAGAACGATGTCGTAAAATTGAACGGAAAAACCATTTATGATCAAGATTAATAGTCAAGTACCAAAAGTAGACAAAGTGAAAGTCATAGACTAAATGTGAAATTTTTATATCATGTCACTGTGAGATATGTCATTGCATATTGAGATGGGCACTTTAGTAAAACACATTTAACCTTTTCAAGATTTTTTAAGACTATTATAGTCTCATTTCTGAAAAAAATGACCTTTTATCAATGAGTTACTTTTTAGTAATGTTGAATTTAGTCCAACACAAAATAGTAAATAAATATAAATGCGTATGAACAATGTATTTTTACGTGGAAACCCGAAAGAGAGAAAATCACAGAACTTTTTGGGCTAATGTCCAAGACACTCTCATTCTCATTAATACTCTCCTCACCAATACAATGTACAAGTGCTCCCATTGATAAAGGTTACAAGCTTCTAAGCTGAGTGGAGAAGAAGGAAGCTAGAGAAAGAAAGGAGAAGGAACCAACCCTTTACATGGGGGGGGGGGGGAGGGGGGGGGTCGCAAAGCTACCCTAATGGGTCAAGTGGGCCGAAATGGGTTGCATGGGCCAAGGAGGACCGAGTGGGCCTTAATGGGTCTCATCGATCGGGCTCCATACTGAGGTACGAAGTAATATATTGGGCCCCTAAACAGTAGCGGGCCGAGAAAATATACCTCTAACAAGTAGTATTCATGTCTCAATCCATATATGTTACTCGTATATATTAACAAGACAATGAAGCTCTATTACTTTTTTTTATATATATATTTTTGGAGATTTTTGTGGTTTAGTCATTTACTAAAATGATAAAAGCTGCAGTGATCCCATTATACATGAGGTGGACCAGATTGTCTAAGTTGAAGTCGCTTAATATACCACTCATGTAATAAAGTAAAAAATTGATACTTTAGCCGATCTCATATTAAACCTCATTTTACGGCTATAATATTCAATTGGTGATAAAGTTAATTTTGTCAAAGTAACAAATAAATTAGTAGGAAAAGGAAATATTATCTAGGAGAAAAAAAAGTTCTTCAATTTTGTAGATTAATACATGATGGATTTTAATTCCAATACGAGAGCTAATCTACGAGAGCAGATGAAATTTAGGCAGCGTAAAACAATAAGTATTTATACAAGAAGTATTTATAGACCTTGAGTTATAGTATTTTAAGAGGAAACAAATACATTTAATGCATTTAATCATAATAAGAGTCCTGTAACGTCTCAAAGGTGGTGCATTCATTGTTACTCTAGGTCTACGTTACTATCGTTATTCACTGCCGCTGGCAGATAGCTATGCTCAAATAATAGCCTGCCACATAAGCCCTAGACTGGTCTGGTTGTGAGTTCCTTCTGCGGGTCAGATTCCTAATTAGACCCGACGGCTATTATTACTCATTAATCCCGGTTAATGGGCTTCATTTTAATTGATCCACGGTCTTATCAATACATATGACATATGAAGATGTTTTTAACACTAACTGAAGTTAAAATATAATGTGAAACTGATAATGAGGTTCATTCATTCGTGAATCTGAACTCAATAAAATAACATGATTAATAAGTTCCAAGGAATATGGCGTATATAAAATTAGTTATTCATCATTAGTAATATTAGAAATTAAAAAAAGGTCTTATTCCTTATTTATTGAGAGTACATATGTTTAAGAAGTGCAATTAATGAATTAAAGGCATCTTAAATGGGTTAAATAAAAATTTCAATTTTATTGACGTTTTTATTAGAGATGTTAATTCTCTCATAATAACTTCACAATTTTAAATCATTTTAAAGAATTAATTTGAAATAGAACATTCCATTTATTAAAATATAAAATATACTAGTACTATAGCAGACATTATTTAACTTGTTGGACGCAGTAATGCTCATCATTTGGAATTATTCAAACGAAGAAAAAGTAATATGTATTTATTAATTTTTCTTCTTAATGATTATGAGTTATATTTGATGGATGTTTGCACTACAAAAAAATTCACATGTAGTCACGGATCGCAGTGTAAAAAATCCATGACCAACTATGTTAGTCACGGATTTTGTCCGTAACTAAGTCCGTGACTAATTCCGCGTGACTACAATGTAGTCACTGAAATTTGGCCGTGACTAAGTGTAGTCACGGATTAGTCACGGACGCTTGACCGGAATTGCTACTCCGGTACGGTAGTCACGGACCAGGTCCGTGACTACCTTTAATTTTTTTTTAAGTCACAGACCGATCTGTGACTAAGATTTTTTTTGTTTTTAAAATTCGGCCATTTTAGTCACGGACTAATCCGTGACTAAGTTTTGAAATTTTCGAATTTTTAAAAGCCCGCGGTTTAAATTTTGAAAATTTGATTTAGTCACGGACATGTATCCGTGACTATGTTTAAAAAAAATTAATTTTGAATTTAGAAAAGAGTTCCGGACCAAAAAAATAGTCACGGATTTAGTCCGTGACTAAAATTTTTGTTTTTTTTTTAAATTCCATTTAAAAAAAATGAAAATTGTTTTAATTTTACTTTAAAGCAACTAGAACATTAAATGAAAAACAAAATCCATACAATGTTAAACATAAAAAATGTTATTACAGACTGAATTATAAAACTAATATGAAATGTTAAACTTAAAAATGTATTATTTGCCCGCACGTCGGACTCCATTATGATAAAAATTAGGATCATCATTATCATATGCATCATTATCATCATAATCAACATGATGATCCTCTTCAGCACCCACGGGGTCTAAGGGTCGGCTACCTCCTCGACTGCCTCGGCTGCCTCCTCGGTTGCTTCCTCGGTTGCTTCCTCGGCTGCCTGCACCGGTTGACTGAAATTGATTGAAAAACTCAGACGAGAGAGATCCGAATGTCGACCCCATTGCAGGAATGGTACCATATCTGGAGTTAGAATGATAACCCATATGACCCATCTGCGGAACCTGAGGAGTCTTCTCAACGTGCAACATGTACGGCCGAGGAAGAGGCTGAGGCTGATATCCGGCAACAATCCGTTCCATTGCTTCCAGCCAGGCCCTTGTTTCTTCATCATTCTTCCGTTGCTGTTCGAATGCCCGCTGCTGCTCCTCCAATTCTCGCTGCAATTGGGCAATGTGTGGATCCTCTCCCCGCCTTGATCGAGAAGATGATGAAGCTCCGCTGCCGCTGCGATCGTACAAAATACGTTGCCCCTCAGCCCCGAGGCAAGGAAGCCGACCCTTGCACACCCCAGCTGCCTCAAGGATCGCATCATCTTCCACGTCAGAATCGATCTCATCTTCCTGCGTCAAGCCTAATTCCACCCGCTTCTTCTCAACATTTGTGTTATACTTCGTCTACAAGCATGTACAAAAATGATTGAAATGATACGTACTTCGATTTCAGCAAGACGGGGTGGCAGATCGGCTTCCGACTCATCACCGTGCGGAGTCCAACAGTGTTTGATGACCTTGAGGATAGAGATCCTCTTCTTTTGAGACCGTGACTAAACCGTGACTAGAACCGTGACTAACTAGTCACAGTCCAAAACCGTGACTATAAGCGATTTTTTTTTGTAGTGTTGATGGGATTAGAAGAAAAATAAAAAACCCTACTTGTAGGAATAACAAAGAGTTTATATTCAAGTGATAATTATTTAATGGATGTGTGGTATTTAATGGATGCTTAGTATGTCCTATGAATAATAAGATGTGATATTTAATTTAGAATATGAGAATACAAGTAATCTGTGTTTCAGATGTTATTTAAAATTAATACTCTCATCGAGTCACCGTCCCACTATAATTATCTCATTTTTTCTCTGTCCGTCCTACTAAATTTGACTCATACTATATTTGATAATATTTGTGTGACTCTAATTCATTTTTACTTCATTTTTACTTTATCAAATTATTATTAACCACGCAACCTTACTTTTCTTAAAAACAGCACCAATTCTTTGTCCCAATCTTAGGAGGCAAAGGTTGTAGTATTTAATCTAAATGATCAGTATCTTATAATTAATAGTTATCATGATCATTAATAATTTTTCTTACAATTAATTAAAAGTTAGAACTTAAGGGGCAAAATTTGAAAATGTTAATTTTAAATGATCGGATTTGGAAACAATTTAAGTACAAATCAATTTCAATAGAAACGTATTTCACATATATTAGTACTAAATAAACTACTAAAGTAGATCACTTTATTATTGTAAATTAGATGATCTAGAGAAAACGCCAGGTCTCAAGCCTATAAAACGTTTTGTTAGAAGAAAGCAAATAAAGAGAGCAGATAAAATCACCCATTAATTAAAAATTTAATACTCCGTATGAAAGACAAGTCTGCTTCCTATACTGAGTCCTATATATTCTTTTACTACTATTGCTGCACTAGTGATCAGAGTTGCGTTAGTAAGAGTGACACACATGGATTGCAAACTACAGCAGCTTAAAATGTCACAACCACTCTAACAATATGTACACAAACGACAAGCTACTGCAATTACAATTTGACTGAGTGGAACCCGGTTCGAAGGCGGGATGGATTTGAGAGATGAATCATCACGCTGAACAAGCAGTCCAGTTCGATGGGAGTCTACCGGAAGTCAATGAAGGCATGTTTCTCACATTGACATCAACGGGAAGCATGCGGTATTCGATATCGAGATCCTTAAATGCTTTAACCATCTCTTCCACCAGTTGAGCTCTCCTCGCCCACCTCTCTCCCATGTCCTGGAAATTTATTCTATGTGAAAGCCAAACTGACCATTTTAACCTGTTCATGTCTTCTATATCTCTCATTACTACTGCTGGACCTGGATACCAATGGTCACTCTTGTTCTCTATATAGCTGTTTAATAAAATCGATGAAAAATATATAAGTTCGCATCATACAAAAGAAGTAATAACCACAAAAGTATTAGATGCCCCTTGTATGTGCTTGCAGATGCTGCCTACTTGCATATGTAAGAATGTAAATGTTAAATATGTATTCCACTATTCTTCATTTAACAGTACCTTATTATTCTTTCTTTCATAGACGCAATCTTTTCCATGGGAGTTGAGATATGTATGGCGAAATCGATTGCCTCTCCCATATCTGGACTACGGTAAAAATTACCTATAAACTTTGTAGTCAAAACGCTATTTGGATATGTGAGTTTTTGATTGTCATATCTCAGGAAAACTGTTGTCAATATATTCATCTCTTCAACTACCATCTGAAATGCAAACAAAAAGTTACATATGTGATGAATGAAGTTCAAGAAAAAAATATAACAATACTGGTAACAATATATGACAGACATAGCTAAAATTATGATATTTAAGATAAGTTTTTACCTGCACTCCATCAATTTCAACACGATCACCGACATCATATGGATGCATTACAAATAAGAAAATGATTGCCTCAAATGTGGTCTTTGCCGTGTTCCCAAACATGAATACAACTAATAGAAGCTGAGAGCTTATAAATACAAAAAAATGCGTAGTTGCAACTCGTAGTATAAGAAGCCAGATGACCACTATCAGTACTGCTACAAGGACGTTCAGCATCTGATGCAATTTGTTTACAGCAGTTTTTGTGTCATTTAAAGACAAAGCAAGAGCTCTCCGTTCCCTAAACACATTAACCTGGAATATGAAAAAAGGAAAAAATTGCTCATTTATATGCACCCAAATCAAAATAAAGTAGCATAAAAGGTAAGCTTTAGCCTCTAAAAGAAATGCAATTACAGTTAAGTAATAAGTAGCAAGATTAATTACAACTAAAATCCTCACCACCCAATTTTTGAGAGCCCGTTTACTAATTCCTTTGCTCTCATTTCCTCCTTCAAAAAAGCGCATGACTTTTGATGCTTCATCTTCCCTCATAAAGCGTAGAAGATTTTCTATGTAAATAAACCTAGTGACAACATCACATGATCAGAAAAGCTAAAAAATTTAAGACATACGGAGGAGGGGAAAAGAGAAGTTTGAATTTGTTCTTAGAGATAAATCATGGTCCAATAATCTCCCTTCCAACTTTAGTTGCAAATAAAATCCTGTCCTTTTTCAGTGCATTTATAAAATCTAATTATATGACAGCCAATGAAGCATACAGAAAATCAGACCACATAACTTTATACTCTCAAATTATCTTTCGTTCATATATCAACTAATACGTGAAATAGTTTCAAGATTAATTCTTTGGAATTCCGAAATTGTTTTCCCCCTTTATATGCTATACCACCTTACCATTTCCATTCAATAGTTGAAAATTTCAGATTGCAAGCACTCATATGGGAGGGCACCCCTTCAAATTCAGAAAGCAATGCGCTGCTACTAAAGGAATCAGTAAGCTAATTAAAAAAGGGCAAGCTATAGTAGGCAACAAAGAGGCTTTCTACGTGTTACCTAATGGACTTAATCTCCACTGACTTAATTGTTCTGTCACAAGGTCATGTTTGCTTACAACTTGATTGGAACACGAGTTACTTATTCTACCAAAAACTAAATTAAGCATTCAAATAAAAGTAAGAACTTTCACATAAAAAATAGTGTATGATTACATACTTGGAGCCTGACTTAGCAACATTGTTAAAAATCTTCTTGGCTGCAACTTTAGCCTGTTTTTCACTAGTGATCTGCACTGCAGATTCATCTTCGCCAGTGGACTCCTCAAGCTGCTCATCTAAAGTAGATAACACACCTTTCCGCACAATATTCATCAACCTCTTCATATTCCAAGCAGAAATATTCTTCTGATTGAGTCTATGCAAGTGATGAATAGTAATTCCACCACCGTCCTCGTCCTTTTCCTTCCTAGACATGATTCTTGAAAACATAGGAGTAGGGCTCCTGGTAGCAGCAGACATTGGGCTCTTTCGGGGAGTCCCAATAGGTCTTCCTCCACTCTTAAACACAGTTGCCTTGAGATCAGGAGGCAAGGTGGCCCCCGCGCTTTGAAGCTTTTGCACCTCAGCCAACATCTTATCCTCCTCTTCTTGCTCTTGTAAAATCTCGACCAACGGTGGGCCGGATAGAGTCTCGATCACATACTGGTTGAACAAAGACTCCTGAATCCGGTCAAAGAATGCGGTGACGTGGAAGGACATTGCCAGGACCTTAACCAGTAGCGTCTTCAGAAGCCATATAATGGTTCCCACCAATAGACAGACCCAAATCCGGGTCACGTATGGTAAGACCACATTCCCATTTGTGGCCCTCTCTACCCTCTTATCAAAAATGCACTGCCAAGCTATTAATACTAAACTCAACCATATACAATTCTGCACTGCATTTCTTAATCCATAGACAAAATATAAAACCCGCTTTCGCAATAGAAAATTGCGCTCTATGAAGAAAACTACCAACCTTATCACCCAACCAGAAACCAATCTTCCAGAAATCAGCACCAAAACCATCACCTCCCATTTCCACAATTCTAGGTCACAGACATTCTTATTTCGCAGTACAGGGATCGCAAGACCACAAATCAAAGCAGCAATAATCAAAATCAAACTCACCAGCTGAAGAATTGTTAGTGGACTGAATTTAATCCTCTTGTAATCCTCAGGAAAATCCTCGTCCAGGAAAGGGTCGTCTTCGTCAACTTCACTCCCCTTACACATTGCCCCAGACTTCATTGTCATCCGTTGAGAAAATCTCTGATCATTCGGCTGCTCGGGGGGAGGGTCTAACAGCCTGGACTTCATCCTCGTCGACAGAAGACCAGACTTTCTCCGAAAGGAAGAGGTTGAACTCCACAGCACAGCGTCCTCCCCTGCACCCGCACGTTGCTCGCCACTGGCATTGGACCGGCGTCGAATCGGTCCATTCAAGTTCTCATTGAAAGAGACTCTGACTTCTCGGGGCGAAATCTGACCTACAGTCGGGCTCGCCGCCACCCTAGACAGCGGAGACTCAGACATGAAGTCGAACTCTGCGTTGCTCTTTGCTTTACTATTAGCTTTAATCGCCGCATCATTTGAGAAATCGTAGCTGGAATCTCTCCAAACCTTGTTCTCATCCCAGGGGTTCAACCCAGTGATACTTCTACTAACGTTGCTTGTTGCCGGCTGGGTCTGGAATGAAGAAGAAGAAGACTGCGGCGAGAGCTCAGTTTCTTTAGTAGGGCCGCTGATTTTAACAACGAACTCAGAAGAATCAGGGGCAGCTGGGGACTTCGCCGGCGACGAAGATGACAGAGGCGACTCCATGCCAGCGGTGGGGGTTTCTAGGGATTGGACTTGGTTCAAGAGAACACTGCGTTCTTCTTCAGGGTGACCTTGCCTGGGAGGATGGTCTGGAGAGAGAGCTTTAAAGGATCTTTTGAGCTTCTCCATTTTCGGTATGGATGAAACAGAGTGATGAATCTGATGAGTTCGGTCCAGAGGATTCATTCACATTCCAAAATGGATTCATTTTATGTTCTTTCTCAGAATTTTAAGAAAGATAAAAAAAAGTTAAGGATAATTTAATGTCTTTTCTGTACTTTCTTGATGTTTTTCTCATAAACCTTTACACTGAAAAGTGGTCACTGGCCAGTAATATTCTTATGGACTTTTCGTTTAGAAATATCTTTATATTCTTTCTTTTTGGTAATTAAATTTTTCCCTAACTTATGCAAATACTTATGTAAAACAAATTTTATTTTGATTTTCTAAATATACGTTTGAGTTATGTGATATTACCTACTTTGATCAAACTGTTTGATCGTGTTAACAATTTTCTTACTTGATTATGTTCTTTTTAATAATTAAAAAGTTATAAAACTACGATATCCAAACTGGAGTTTTTGAAAATTTAAGAAAATGTGTACTATTGTTTAAAAAATAGGGATTTTGATAATCCATTACTCTCCATCCGTTTTTTATCTTGAATGTTTTGGGATTGTTATTGTAGTAGTACTCTATTCATTCATTTTTAGTGTTTGATTATGTATTTTGTGGAATTTAAAAAGAAAATGATCACTGGAACTAATATGAAATGTGTATGATAAATGCAAATATAGAAAATAGAATATATTAAGAAGAGAACTTAATACAAATTAACGAAAGAAAATATAGTTTGTGTGAAGCAAAGAGTAATTAAAGTGAGCATATAAAATTATTTTAAAAACTTACTATAAGAGGATGTAAATAAATACTAGTAACAGAAAAGAACAAAAAGAGTATTATTGCACACTTTTGTTTGAATGATATTATTTAAGACACTATTAAAGTGTATTGCAGTAACTTTTAGTATAAATTTTCTTTCAAAAAGGAAGTAATTCTAATGGAGTATATAGTCCGGGGACCCCGACCCACATACTCCCACAACCTCAAACGGACCCAATAAAGCCCAGGTGGCAAAATACAACAGTCCAAGCACCATGCAGCCCATACCTCACGGGGAATGCCTTCGACACCCTGGCCGAAGGCCTCAAACTCAGGGACGCCATTCCATTTCGATCCAACAGCACGCCTTGAAACTTGGGTCTCGAAGCATCAGCCTTCGGCCAAACATCCTTCGGCTCCGACACCGAAGGCCTCCATTCTCGACAGAAACTCCTCTGCTTAGTGTCCAACCACTCCATTTAATGCGATGCCACGTGCCAGCACCCACATAGTTGGGGGACTCTCCACCATAGACTAACTTACACGGGTACATGCATTTAATGCACCTAGCATTTATGACTAGTATAAATAACGCCCCTTGAATGGATGTAACAGACCACCGAAGATTTATTGCTACTACACTTCCTCTCTCTTACTTATTGCTCTGACTTCTCTCTAGATACCACTAACGGCTATCTATCAGATTCATTGAAACATTATGAAAAAGAAGATAAAACAATTATTTAGGAATAGGACACATGAAACTAGAAAATGAAAACTAACAAATGTTTGCATATAGGAGAAAATAATACTCGTACTAAACAAAAAATTGAAGATTTTTTTTGAAAAAAGTATTGATACACATAAATTGCTTAGGTATACAAACAACTCTTTCACAAACTATTTGTGTACAAGCAATTAGGAGGTTCTTTACAAAATATGTATAACTTATCTACGCTAAGATAAGAACATGCTTTTCACTTTGCTTTTGAATATTTAAATTTTGGTTACTTATGATATAATACTCCGCAGGTGTTACACATATTGAACAAAAATGAACTGTTTTATTTCGTAGGAGCAAGTCAAGATACATGTGACAAAGGAAGTATAAAGTGTTTTTTAATGGTCAGGTAATGGAAATGTTGATTAGGTGTAACTATAATTGCAAAGCACGGATCTAAAACAGGGAAGAGATATAACTTAGAATCATACAATTGTTACACGTAGCTAAATATACAGCCTACGTACTCAATACCAACAAAGGTTGAAAATCCGGCATCACATATACTATCGTATATGGTTGTGATTAGGACGAGTTTGATATGCGATTTTGAATTCTCACATCTTATTTTTCATATTCCTATCAAACTTGTTTTCAAACTTTTAATTAGACACGTTATTATGTAATAATCAAATCTGGTTAAATTTAAATTAACTAGATCAAATTAGACTATACTTTACCATCGGTACCCCAATGCAGCAAAGAATCCCATCCACGGTGGGGTAACTGGTCCCATGCATGTAACCTTACAGGACGATAGAGAGCGTAAAAGTCACTTCATCAGTGAGTGTTTGAACTCAATTGTAAATTGTGGAAGGAAGATTATGTTGGAAAATGTGTTAATAAATTGCATTAAATGGTCTTTTTGGGGCAATTTTTTGAGTGGTGTCCACTTTCGATTTGGGTCGGGTCAAAGTGGTTTCGGATTGTCCTCGTTAAGAGCTACAATTCGATATGTGGTACACTCAAAATGGATAACGGGTAAATGAAAAATTGATTCTCGAAGTTCACTCGTTGAAATGGAGAAAACTGAGAAAATGATGAGTTTTTAGTAGGATTTATCCCACACCGGAAAACCCAAGGGATTTTCACCCCCTTATAAAGGGACACTCTTTGAAGGAGTTAAGATTCCTACAGGGAAAAGCTCTCTTCGCGCGCAGGGGGTTGCGTATCAAATCCCGAAAACGGAGAAGAAAAACCGTTCAGTCTTTTAATGCAGTGTTAAATGAACAGTTTATGGACGATTCAGGACTGGTCATTGATGTCCAATGTTCAGGTCCATTAACACACAACAAATCCTCCTATAAAAAGCTGGCAGGTGCTTTGCAACATGAGACACATTCACAAACAAACTCACACACTTTCGAGCTCTCGAAAAACACTACTAGCATTCTGTAAATCTCTTTCTGTGTTCATACTTGTTTCCGTTCACTGGAACTTTTGTTTGTGTGCTCAAACAACAGTTTGTAGTCATCGTATACTGAGAAACGATTCTTGCAACGCTCCTAGCATCGTGGGAGGCAACGAATACGTTTTAAGGACATTGTGCGTAGCACAAGCTTTGACTAATTTCTGCTCCTCTCATTTCTGTTTTCTTTAACTATCTTATTTATTAATTAATTTTTATTAATTAATATTTCTACGTTTTTCGAGACACACCCAACAGATTAGACCTGACTTAAACGGAGTAAATCAAACTTTGAAAGTTATAAAATAAATATAGGTTATGCATTTATCAGATCAGACTCAAGCAGACCTGGTATATAGATGACTGCCAGCCCCTTATATACCCAAGTCTAATGGTCGCATTTTTAGTTACAATCTAAGTGTGCAGTAAGTGTGGGGTAATAATTTCCTGAATACTTAGGATGTTTTTACTTGGACTGTAATTTGCTGGTCTGGTCTGATCTTGTCTGTTTAAGTCTGGTTAGGTCTTTTCTGTTTAAGTTTGGTCTGATATTAACTGGTATGAGCTGGTAAATGTCTGGTCTCCGTGCATTTTATAACTATGAAAATGAAGTCTGGTCTAGTCTGTTTAAGTCTAATCTGATATGGTATGTTTAAGTCTGGTTTGATTTGCTCTGAGACTGAAAATAGTGCAAATAAAAACATCCTTTCAAAGATATTCCTTTTAATATTTTCCATATTACTGTGAGGCCCCTTTGACCGAACACTCACCTCGTGGTTCCAGTTTATCTTGAAATCAAAACCGCCCACGAGTTCGTTGTCAGTTAGAGTTTTTAATTTTTTGTCTAACATTTAATTCATTTTTCAATATTTGTCTAACAATGAATACATAAATATCTCACTACAATACTACATTCATTAATCTGATTCAATTTATAAAGTTGAGTAAAAATGTAATACTCTTTACATGCCTTTTTTACAATATAAATAAACTCAAATAGTAATTGAATTTATAATTTATATTTACAAAGCTCATTTAGGCTTCATGACAAATAATAAATAAGTTAAAGAAAAGGGTCAAAAAGCTACTACCCTGAGTTCGGTTATGAACCTAGTCACACAGGATGCTAAATGTGGCATACCTTTGATACTTACAAACTAGCGTGGATAATTAAATCCATTACTATGGGGAAAAAAATGAAACAATGTGGGCATATGATATGAACAAAAAGTAGCTGGTTTGGAGGTTGTTTAAGTGGTCAATGCATCTGGAAGAGTTGTGCTAGCTCCCAGTACTTTGCCTCCAACGTCTGGGAAGTTTTCATATCCTGGCAAAGACCTTACTTTTCCATCCGAATCTACTTGGATAGGGTACTTGAGAAGATGACCTTGCAATGGTGCAAACTTCTCTGCAGTGTATCTCTTCCAGTTATCTTCTGCAATCTTGTTGACAAGGTTAACACAACCTGAATTTTCAGGTTCTTTAAAGCTCGGGTCAATCATCCCGAGGTGCTCTGCCCACAGTGACATTCTATAACCATACACCTATTCATATAGATATATAATCAATTTCATCAAAGTTTAGCATTGTCTTTAGGCTGTTATAGTTTAGTGCAATGAAATAGGTGAGGACAAGTAGCCTGCTAGGAAGGGACATAGTCATGGTTCTGTGCAGGATTAGACCGGCCTTTTTTCTTGGACAATGAACCAATTTTTTGAGTTCCATTCCGGAACTCGTACTAGGAACCAGTCCTAACCTGGCCCAGTTCATGCTTCTCCAAAATAGGACCTGGCCAGTTCCGAACACTGATTCCCGAACATTTTTACCTATTTAGGACAATTTCTTTTTTGGCATTATCAGACTATAGACATGGCAGTATACTGCCAATACTGCCACAAGTGGTAGTGTTTTCAAAGCTTGGAATTAATTACTTCCAATTAGGGAATAAAAGATAACATTGATTCCCGAGCATTTTTACCTATTTAGGACAATTTCTTTTTTTCCTATTATGTAACGATAGTGCATAAACCGATTGGGAACCTGACCGGAACTGAAGCTAGTTTTAATTCCTCCCCATTACTCGGAACAAGACCAGGTCCACCCTAAACGCGGCCACACGTTGTTGACCGTATGACACATAGGGCCATTATAAGACCAAATAGGTGGCAAAGTTATTGTATATGGCCTTGTAGGCCTGTACCAATAAAGCGAACTAGACCAGGCTCACCTCATAAAAAGAGGCAAACTTGGCAAATATCTTTATCTATATATATTGTACTTTTGGTGATGGTTTTTGAGGAGGATGACAACCTCAGATGGCCTTCAAGTGATACTGATATGTGGTAAAACAATACTCACACACTAACCTGGCCATAGGGATGTGTTTGATGTTTGCTTGCCCAAGTGTAATGGGGCTGATATGCACCCATGGCGATCTCCGTGTCTCTCGAACCTGCCATTGATCTTTGGTTAATGTTAGCAGAACCTAAGATGACATACTCATCATCCACTATCATTCCCTTGGCATGCACATAGATCATGAACCTCCCGTATTTCTGAGAAGCCGTAACCTGTAAATGAATTTTATAAAAAAGTAGTGCCATTTTGAGTACATCAAGAATTTTATTGGTTACTATTAAGATAAACAAAATGTGCTGAATGTCAAGTCCCTCACAACATCGCTGCTGGTGCCTGCAGAATGCTGAGAGGAGAAGACGCTCGATGATTCGTTGTTGCATTCTTCCCGATTGCCAAGGCAGTAGAAATTCAAATAGTCACAAGGATGTGATGAGCCCTCTAGCTTTTCAGATTTCAGTTCCTTTGCAATCACTTCATACATCATTTGCATTGTTTGCCCCTGCAAGAGAATGACATACCATTAATGTAAGAGGAGGTCTATAAGGTATTGACATAATTCAGGATGGGTTAATCAACTGCTCGATAAAGCACATGGATCAAGCCATAGTAAATGATTGAATACAATTGATTAGTTAGTTAATCAACATTTTGTAAGCCTATCAGTCTCATTCTAATATTTTGATACAAGAATACTCTAGCAGTCCATTTGGAATATGGGAACTGCTAGGAAAAGGAAATACAGAGGAAAATGGAGTAGAAATTTGGAAAGGAATAATTCCAGAGTAATTTTTATATTAGTTCAAATTCATTTTTTGTTATTTACTCATGCTATATAAATGATAAGCAATCTAAATGTAGGTTATTTTTCTGTCATGCTTCATTTTTTGTTTTCATTTTCCGAACTAGATCCAAACATATGAGTAAGACATTTTCTTTCCATTCCCTAGCATATCCAAACATAGTCTAACAGATACTCATAGGTAATAAAAAAGTTAAAACTTCTCAAAAGAATGTCTTTATTTATCAGGTGTTACAAAAAAGGAATTACCTGCCAATACAGAATTTCTTGAACAGGTGCAGAATTAGGGACACCTTCAGGCCACATTGGGATGACGATGTATACTGCGAATCTCTCTTTATTCCGGATTTTACTTGCAATCTTAAGAGCAAGTTCCATTGGTATCAAGTTATCCGCACCTAAGACATGTATAAAATTCCATTGTAAAAGTTGAGGTTCCATTTTCGTAAACAAAAAAAAACAAGTAAACATTAAATAATTCTCTAAGAAAAAATGGGTGAAACCTGAATCCTTGTAGGATGGCCAAGCATATGATGATCCGAGGAAATACTGATTTTCGATGTAAATAAAATGTTGGGCACGCCTTATTGCCTGGATGTATGCCATTTGGATGCTCCTGTCAATTACTAAATCTTTTGCGCAAACTAGATTCTGCAACATTAAAGAAAGGCAACTGTTATATAGACAGGCCAACCTTACCTTACATTGAAAATGAAAATAGAGCCTTTTTATGCATTAAAATACTGTATAACAACTATAATAATATTTCCCAAATGCAACAATACAACACCTGTGTATTGGCTGTTTGAACATCTTTTGGGAACCCTTTCAAAGACCCTGAATCTATGGATCTGAAAACCTGTCAAATATGTAACATCTAACACACGAAGTCAATAGGGATTCTGCCAAAATCTAGGTTTTATTAATTTTTATAATAAGTAGTCTCTTTGATTTGCTATAGCATAGTGTGCATGAATATATATAATATATCCCCTCCATTATTTTTTAGTTTGTTCCTATAGGATTTTAATGAAGATGTAGAAATACTGAATAGGTATTGAATGATGTAGAAAAATGTAAAAAGCAAGAGATGTATAGGTGTAAAAGTAAAAAAAATGAATCAGGTAGAGAAATAGTTGAACAATAAGAAAGAGGAGATGCAAAATAAGGACAAAATTGGGGAAAATGGAAATTATGGAATGGAGCAAATAATAAAAAACATCCAAAAAAGAGGAGTTATATGCCTGTCCATAAAATTTTCACAAAAAAGGAATGCAGACCAAATAAATAAAAACGGAGCAAATATTTAAAGTTTTACTTTCAAAATTTTATATTTAAGTTATGGACCTGAACATGCCAGTTTTCTGGATCATCTTCACTGGAAATCCACAATGAAGGATCATCATTTGGAACGGAAGAAGAAGGACTAGTTATCCAAGAAATCCGGTCTACTTTTAATAATGCATCCTCATGCCAATGTGATATCTTCTTAAAACGCCTCCCTAACTCCTCCCATTTTGCTGCCTTTCTCCACCGCTGCTCAAAGTTTGTGAGAACATCATACGCAGCAGGCCCTTCAATTTTGCAATGTAGATCATGCCATGGCTGTCTTGGTCCCTTAATTCCTCCTTCCTAAAACAAATTATTATAAATAAAACAAAGGAGTGGAAACATTGGAAGAAACTCTTTGGTTTTTGACATGGACTTACAGGGAATGTAGGATTGTGATAGTCGCCTTTGAAAACAGTGTCAAGGTCAGAAAACAATCTATGCTGAGGGGTATCATATCGCCCGTCACATAGGTCTAGACCTCCAATAAAAGCTGTTATCTTCCTATTGTTTCCCTCAGATTGTGTATCCACAATTACACACTTTTGATGGTGTGTATAAAGTGTTCCTACCACCTGCTTGTTAAGCATATCAGAAAATGAGCTAAAGCAATGACTCCAGACTTAGATGAACAAGTGGAGCTATATTTGTTTTGTACATTTTAGTGTGTACATTTGTTTGTAGCATATTGATAGGGTAATGAAAAGTTAAATAACTTTTCTTCAGTGAACAAATACCTTCAACATAGAAACTCAAACTTAAAAAGTACAAAGCAAGTGTTTATCAACACATACTCGACTAAAAATGTGTTTTCTAAATGAAGTAAACATGTCTAAAAAATGTGCAGGGTGGGGATGGGGAGAACCGTGCCTGTTGCTTGAATATACTAAGCTTACTACTTGCATAACGAGGTGCAAGCACACATGTAACTGATGAATGCTTGAAAAACTTGCGAGTTTCTTCATCGTGTGTTCCCATTAACCCAGCCTACAATTTCCATCAACAACATATTAAATTAGAGATAGACAGATAGGTTTAAGGACAAAGACTATATTTTCCTGAACATACATACCCCATTCATACAACATGGAACTCAGAATCATCAATTGTATTTGTAAAAAAATTTGTGCATACTGTCATGTCTGCTGTTAAGCTTTTTAAGTGTACAAAACTAAAGTACATACTAGAGTTAACAATTTGAATCACACTAAAGATTGATACAAGTGGATTAGTTAGGAAAGAAATTAAAAGCCACAGTAAATCTTTCAAATAGATTAGTTCTGAAAAAATTGTGATCAAAATCTTTCAAGGAAAAATACACGTCTCGAATTTGTGATTTATATATCAATCAACTTACTTACCTTCATCTTAATGACCAATAGTGAACCTATAATTATGATAAATTAGAGTAGGATTTTCTCTTTATACTACACATATAGTGAGTGTAGTAAAGAAATTATGGAGAGAAGCTGATAAGAGAGGTCACATAATTAATTACCGTGTTAATAAAGAATTTGTTGTGAGAAGTCTTATCATCCCAAACCAAAAGCAGCACCCTAACTCCTTCCTGAGACTTGTACTTAAGCAGTTCTCCCAGGTTTAAATCCCCTCCATTAGGCAGCGGTTTTGTAGGCTCCCTCACCAGCTTCACCTTGTGATAGATGGACCACCCTACTATGTATACCAAGTGATGTGCCTCCAGAATGGCATGACAAATGTCCTCCCAGCAGTTCCCGTGATGGAAAGCCTTCGTCGGTCCTGCACCGTCGTCGTAGTCGTCTTGTTCTAGCTTAATCTCCGGCAACACGCCCTCCGGGACGTGCGCGTCCTGGTAGAGCGTCACCGCCCCTCCGTGCCTCACGGGAAAATAACTCTCTTTCAAGCCATAGTTTTCAACAATGCCGCCTCCACGGCTAGGCTGGTACAACGGGTTTTCATCACAAGGGGTGAATTTCATCCTTAGTCTGATAGCACTATCGGGCTTCGGGGGTTTCCCGCCCGCGCCACGCGTGAGCGGGAACCAGTCATCTATCATCTTGCCCGACTTGATCCTTGGGGCCGACACTTTCGCCACGCCTATGAAGTCGGCCCCGAACATGTCATTGTCCTTCACGTGGAATTCCACCTCTGAGACCGGGTGAGCCAGCGGGATCTTGAAGTGTTCGTTCCACACCGGATCCTGCGAATTCGCGATCACGCGGGTGCGAGCCACCGTGGCACCCGCAAGGCAGACTTTCACGTAAGGGTCGCTGGTGATTATCTTAGCTGCAGCATGAAGATGCCGAGAGCCCCTCTTTCCCGGCCGGGAAATCGGTCTCCGGCAGTCGAGGGCCGTGAGGAGTCTCCGAATGCGCTCCGAAACTATGTCCATATTTGGCAACCATCGAGCTTCTAGAATCTCCAAGTCCAGATCCCCATGGAGGTAGACGACGTTCTCTGAATTCTCATCGGGCATTTTCGTTTGTAGAAATGTTAATTACATTCGATGGATGAATGGATATGTTCTTGTCAATTGCGCGCGTTAATTTGATGAAGGAATGCAGGATACGTAGCTAATTCCTTGATATGGTGGCGCCCGGCGGATTTTGGCGGGGATGCGGCGGTTGGCGGAGGAGGAGATGAAGCAATGTATCTCTCCGCCACAGCCAACGGCCGGAAAAGGTGGAACGTGGGTGTGTACAAAAAAATTACCAACAGAATAATACCGTTTGGATTTGAGAAAATTGGCTGAACATCGGTAGATGTCCAATTTTTATATTGCAATAATATTGGGAAAATGGATATACGGAGTATTTTTATGGTTTTGGGAATGAGTGTATTAAAAATGCATCAATGGCTCCCAATTGGTGTAAGGATTTTTTTTGAAAGAATGACCTTGTTATTTGCAGAGGCTTTATGCATTTTAGCATAATAACATCTCATCGCAGTTATCAAGATTCAAACTCGAGACTTACCCTTTGTGACACCCCTATCCAACACTTGAGCTACGCCCACCGGTAAGGATTTTTTTAAAATATGAATATGATCACACTTTTATCTATCTGTTCTTTTGTTAAATGTCAACCTATTTCAATTAAAATGAGGTTGCATATATACTTGGATGCGTTGACTTTCTTCTTTTGTTCAATGTCAACATATTTGATTTGAGATGAGTTTCCATGCTTAGTCCTTCTTTTGTTAAATGTCAACATCTTTGAATTGATATTAGTTTTGATCGAATGACCTTCTTCTTGATAGTATCAGAACCACAAGATGCTTGACAATTGGTTGGAGATTTAGTTTCAGTGTTTCACTAAATTAAATTTAAGTTATATTTACGGTTTCAATGATGTACTTTTCTAAAATAAATGAAGTATAATTACACTTCTATTAATTAATATAATAAGTGGTTTAAGCAGTTTAATTAATATAGTCTATGGCGTTATATATGAGTGAGCTAGGGAAACCAGCTAACTCATTCAATTGTCGTAAATGATTTTCTTAGTCAATGCAATGCATTTTACGAGCAATTATTTTCTTATTTATGTGAAATAATGGAAAAGGTTACTCCCTGAGGAGCCCTGGCAGATATATTTATATTAGAGAGAGTTTAATGTAAAGTACAATACTAAGTCTATAAGAATTCTATTACACCCCCTCAAACTGTGCGGGAGATACAACGCACAGGTTGTCTTTCAAAAAATGAAAACGTTGACTAGATAGACTTTTAGTAAAAATATATGCCAGCTGTAGATGAGTAGGAACATGTTGAACAATCAGATCTCCATGAGCAACCCATTCGCGAACAAAATGATAATCAATCTGAATATGTTTACTTCGAGCATGGTGAACTGGATTTGCAGTCAAGTAAGAAGCAGATATATTATCACATAATAAATGTACCGGCTCGGAGATAGGCCATCCAAGTTCGAACAGGACTGAGCGGATATGTAGTGTGTCTTGTACTGTGTAAGCAATGGCACGATATTCCGCTTCTGTGGAGGACTTGGACACAGTGGACTGCTTCTTAGCCTTCCAGGAAACCAAATTAGGGCCCAAAAATACAGCAAAACTTGTGGTAGACCGAGAACTATCAGGACAACCTGCCCAATCTGCATCGGAGTAAGCAACTATACATGTTGGTCGATTAGACTGCTGAAGCCAAAGTCCATGATCTCGTGTTCCCTGCAAATATCTGAAAATTCTTTTGACTGCAAAAAGATGAGTGGTACGAGGAGCATGCATGAACTGAGACACTAAGTGTACTGCATAAGTAATATCTGGCAGTGTCAAAGTTAAATATTGTAATGCACCAACCATGCTGCGATACTCAGTAGAATCAGATAGTAGCTCACCATCAGAAAGAGACAGAGTGGTACGGGAAGCTAACGGGGTGCGAACAGGTTTGACAGTATGAAGGTGAAAACGAGCTAGAAGGTCAGTAACATATTTATGTTGAGAGAGAAACAAACCCTTAGCTGAACGAATGGCCTCAACACCCAGGAAATAATGGAGATTACCCAAGTCTTTCATAGCAAAATGTTTAGATATAATTGAAATAAATTGGGTAACAGAGAAATCAGAATTGCCAGTAATAATAATATCATCCACATATAGTAATAAATAGATAATAGTATTATTCTGGCGGTATATGAACAAAGAATTGTTGGATTTGCTACAGGAAAAATTATGCTGTAGAAGAAAGCTACTAAATCTATGAAACCAGGCTCGTGGAGCTTGCTTAAGGCCATTCCGCAGACGACAAATATGATTAGGAAAGTGAGGGTGAATAAAACCACGGGGCTGCCGCATATAAATTTCTTCTGTCAGATTCCCATGTAAGAAGGCATTTTTAACATCAAGTTGTCGTATACCCCACCCGAAAGAAATAGCTAGAGTAAGTACAATACGAACAGTGGTGGGTTTAACGACAGGACTAAAAGTTTCAGAGAAATCAATACCTGCCTGCTGATTAAAACCCTGTGCAACTAATCGAGCTTTATGGCGCTCTAAAGATCCATCAGAATGATATTTAGTTTTATAAATCCACTTACAACCAACAATATTTTTAGAGTTATCAAAGGGCACCAAGTCCCACGTATTATTATTAATGAGTGCATTAAATTCATCAACCATTGCCTCACGCCATTTTAATTGTTTATTTGCCTCAGTAAAACGGGTAGGATCTGCATTGACAGTAACTGTACTTAAATTAAAAATGGTTTTAGGCTTAAAAATTCCTGACTTAGCACGGGTTTGCATGGGATGGTGATTAACTACCGTAGTGGACGTAGGTGAGGTGGTTTCAGGTGAGACAGTGTCAGTTGATGTTGGCTGTGGCGTGCTAGACAAAGTATGGGAGGAGAGATGGGATGGTGGGGGGCTGGTTGTGGACGTGGGATCGGAGGAATGGGCCGACGGTACACACGGAGTGATAGGCATACTTGGTGACCGAGGTGGCGATGATGGGGTTGGTGCTGGTGCGGCCGTAATTGTGGGAACAGGCTGGAGAGGTGGGTCAAGAGTGATATCGGTGAGATGCATAGGAGATGATGTAGTAGAAATAGACCTGGATGGAGCAGACGAGAGAGTTTTAAAAGGATATGTGTCCTCATGAAACCTAACATGTCAGCTAACATAGACTCGACCTGTGAAAGGATCCAAACAACGATAGCCTTTATAACCGGATGCATAGCCAAGGAAAACACACTGAACTGAACGAGGTGATAATTTATTGACTGAGGTGGCATTAAAATTTGGATAACAGGCAGAACCAAATACTCGCATAAAGGAGTAATTGGGAACTCGGTTAAACAGTTTTTGATACGGAGTAAGACCATTTAAGGTAGGAGAGGGTAATCTATTAATAATATATGCAGCAGTAAATATGGCATCGACCCAATAGTGACTCGGAACCGAAGCTTCAAGAAGCATGGTCCTAGTTAACTCAAGTAAATGGCGATGCTTGCGCTCAGCAACCCCATTCTGTTGAGGTGTGTCAGGGCAAGATTTTCTAAAGTAAATGCCATTAGCAGAGAAAAATTGCTGCATATTATTATTAACAAATTCACCTCCCCCATCACTTTGAAAAATTTTAATTTTCTGATTAAAAAGATTTTCAACCAAAGCTTTAAAATTTTTAAAGTGCAAGAAAACCTCATTTTTGTGACACATGGGATATATCCAAGTATAACGAGAAAAATCATCAATGAAACATACATAATACTTGAATCCCAAATTTGAATACACAGGTGACTGCCACACATCAGAATGTATAATTTCCAAAGGAAAAATAGAATTATGACTAGCATCCATAAAAGGTAAACGTTGTGATTTTCCTAAACGACAGGCCACACACTCATGAGTAAAGGGAGTATGACTACATAAAAATTGTTTTCTCTTAAGAAACTGTAAAGTACTATCACCACAGTGACCTAATCTACGGTGCCACACAGGGCCAGAAGCTAAAACGGAAGCAAAAACTAATGGTGATGCAGACGGCAGATGGAGAGGATAAAGTGGTCCACTACTAGTAGCTCGCAGAAGTATTGCCCCCGTTGCTTTGTCCTTAACCAAGAAAGAATTTTTATCAAAAATTACAGTACAATTATTATCAGCACAGAGCCTTTTAATGGAAATTAAATTATATTTTAACTGAGGCACATGATAAACGGATTTTAAAGTGAGAGGACGACCAGATGTAGGTAAAGCAACATCACCAATATTACATATGGGAAGATGGGCACCATTGGCAACACTAACAGAATTATAGCCGGTGTAGGGAGATTTATTAACTAAATTACCTTCAGACGCAGTCATATGAGCAGAAGCTCCTGAATCAGGAAACCATAGAGCAGGAGTAGTGTCACCGGGAGTAGTCAACAGAGCAGGAGACGTTGGTTGTGTGAAACGAGAAGGACAGTTAATGGCAGAATGACCTGCAGAAAAACAAATTTGACAGACAACAGGGTGGGGAACAGATCCAAGAATACCTCCGTCTGATGGCAAGCCTGTATGACTACTGTTAGTAACACAGACAGGTAAAGCATTAATATTTAAATGTGACACAGCAGAATTACAAATAACAGTACCCGTAGATGTCACACCCCCTGCAGGAGTACTCGGTTGCCCACCCCCTCCGGGGTAATAAACTGGATGCCCCCTGAGGGAACCAATATGCCTGCTGCTGCTGTCCTCGACCACGCCCCCTGCCTCCGCGGCCTCTGCCGCGCCCACGTCCTCGCCCGCGTTGTGGAGCGCCGTTCTGCCGAGCCTGCCCGACCGGGTAAGTCTGCTGCCCGACCGGGTGAGTGGATCCCGAATTCTGCTGGGTTGGCTGCTGCCCAGACGACTGCCTGGGATATGAAACAGCCGCGCCAAACGCCTGATGAATGGACTGGGACTCCTGGGAGCGGAGATAAAGGACCCGCTGCTCTAACTCAAGAAGATGATTACGGAGAGTCTCAAACGGGAAATTTTGTCCAAATAAGGATACAACAGTGTATAAAGATTCATACTCAGGTCCTAGACCCATAATAGTAGTTTTTAAAATTTCACGCTGAGGCACAGGGCAATTGATTGTGGCAAGATCATCAGCTAATGTTTTAATTTCTCGCAAATAATTATCCATGGACTGATCAGGTTTCTTTTTAATTTGATTAAATAAACGCTTTAATTCCATAGATCTCGCTAAACTAGCAGACATAAACCGAGACTCCAACCGCTCCCAAATTTCATATGAATGTTTTAAATCACGTACATCGATAAGAACATCCCTAGATAGGGTTGCAAATGACCATGAACGGATGGTTTGATCAATTCTTAACCAAGTAGAAAATTCGGGATTGTGAGTTTGACGGTTAAGAGCATCTATGGAATAAGCAGGGGGTACCTGAATGGAGCCATCAACCATGCCAAGAAGACCTTGTGAGACAAGAAAGGACTCAAACTGGGTACGCCAAGTAGTATAGTCTTCCACTGCTAGGAGCTTTGTGGTAACAATATTGGTGACATTAGTAGCGACATGAGAGATGCTGTGTACAAGGTCTGCCAAGGGGGAACCGGCTGCACTGCCCACGGTGGTCCGAAGAGGGGGTAGGGTAGAGGAGACACCCGGTGATCCAACAAACGTGGGTCCAGAAAAAGGCCCGGCCGAGAGGGGTGGCGGATCTAAAGACATCCGCTGTACTGGAGTAGGTGCATGACGGCCAAGGAAACGCCGGAGGCATGGTCGGAAAAAGGGAGTGAGGCACGGCGGTCCGGCTGGGAGAAGCGAAGGTGGATGAAAACGTCACACCTGTTTCGGAGTTGGTGGCCGGCTGCGTTCCGTACCGAAGTGGAGCGCCGGGCGATAGGGAAAATCCTGCCGCGACGGAAGAAGAAGATAGACCAGCGGCGGAGGAAACTGCCATGGACAACGCTGCGGAAGAAGCCTGCGTGGAGGGAGAGGTCATCTGTGGCGGCGGCAGTAGAGAGAGGATCGAAAAAAATTATTAGGGTTTTTACTGTGCTCTTGATACCATGTGAAATAATGGAAAAGGTTACTCCCTGAGGAGCCCTGGCAGATATATTTATATTAGAGAGAGTTTAATGTAAAGTACAATACTAAGCCTATAAGAATTCTATTAATTTATAATATCAATTCTTTATCATATTCTAATAACATTAATTTGGTGATTTTGTTTAAAATTTAATGTCATTTTTGAATTTTATAAGTTTTAAGAAAAAATTACACATTTACAACTAAAATACTACCTCCGTCCCTATATAAAAGTATCCATTCATTTTACACACATCTTAAGAAAGTGTGTTTGGTTGGTACTGTTTGGCACTGTTTGGACACTGTTTGACACTGTTTTGCATTGTTTTGTTTGTCAAAAAAGGAAATAGATGCTTTTATTTAGGGACGGAGGGAGTAAAGATTTCTTAGAAAAATGTGACTAGTAACTATAGTTGTAACTTAATCAAAGTAATTTATGTTTAATTTTTAATTTAAGTGATCATTACATTATATTGTAGTAAATGTTAATGATATTTGTGTAAGAAAATTTTACTTTAGTAATATTTTTGAAAAAACACATATTTTAATAAGTTTTTCTCAAAGTAATGCTAAACAAAAAAAATTTCAAAATAAATGTCAAATCAAAACTATTTCCCAAAATCATGTCGGAATAAATACAGGTATCGAAGCCGCCAAGTGACTTTCTCTTGATGGCCGCTGAACCAAGCTAGGAAAGGAAGTCAGCAAATCAAATCAACTTAATGGAATCCATATTTTCAAAATCTCACTCTCTTTAACAAAAAAAAAAGATACTTATGATTGAACTCGTTTTTAGATAGGGTCATGTGTTTCATTCTTTATCAAAGCAGTTCATGTGTTTGAATTACGTTATCACAAGAGTGTCACGACGTTAAAAACGTCTGAAAAAACCGTTAAAAATAACTCCGATTTTCAAAAGAGATCGAAAAATTAAAAGAAAAATACCGAAAGGTGCGCCTCGTCAAGATGACATCCAAACCACATTTGCCTTTGGATTTTTCAGATTTGTTTGAATTATTTTTTAAAAATGATTTCGCTAATATCACTTTTCTGATGGACTTTCCGGTGACAAGGGTGGCTGAAAACAAAAAAGAAAGACGGCCTAGCGGTCGTCTTATTGAGGCGCACCTTCCGGTATTTTTCTTTTTATTTTTTGGGAACTTTTGAAGATCAGAGTTACTTTTAACGGTCTTTTTCAGACGTTTTTAACGGGGTGACCCTCTTGTGATAACGGAATTCAAACACACGAACCACTTCGATAAAGAATGAAACACATGACCCTATCTGGAAACAGGCTCAAAATATATATCAAAATGGATTCACTGACACATTTTGATATATTATAATTTGGATTCCATTAATTTGGTTTCATTTATTGGCTTCGTTTCGGATTTCAACGATTAAGAGAAATTCACCAACAGCGACTTTGTTAAACAAAGTTTATTTCATTAGTATTTTAGGAAATACTTTTAATCCGACATTAATTTGGTACATATTTTTTTACTTAACATTATTTTGTAAAAACCTCTAATTATTAAAAATGACTTAACTATTTATGTGTACATCAGATGAGATTTAACTTTATCGTCAATCTATCTTGAATTCCATAAATTACAAATCAATTTGAAAGGAAGACACATATGAAAGATGTCTTTAAAAAAAGATTATAAACACAAATAACTCTTAAATACATTAGATCCGCAATACCCTCTATATTATACACAACCTTGAATATTGAAGAGATATTACAAGAGACTAGAAAGTTCAACAAATTTTTTTTGAATATATATTATTTCTAACGGTGGAGAGCAATCATCACTATACTATCACCATATTATTTTTCCCATGCCTAAAAAAGATGAACATCTTCTCCTTTTCATTGTCCATATATGTATGTACCCACTACGATCGAGAAAATCCATAATAGACTTAAAGAGTCTCATTTGGTTATTATTCGATTTTTTCTTATTCAATTGATTTTTCCAATTTAAGTGATGGATATTGTATCCGGGGTATCTATTCGAGAGGTTATTGCGGGAATAACTAGAAAGAAGTCAGAGCAAATAGAGAGAGAATATGGTGTCCGGTGTATGAATTCGAGATCAAGTTGTGATGTCTCACAATGGAGAAAAGGGGCTGCTATTTATAGGAGCAATAAATGCGATGAGAGTACACGTGTCAATAATCTAACGGTCGAGGGGTCACCTCAATGTACCGGGTGGCACCGGCACCTGCATGTGGCAGCATTAAATGCGGTAGTTGGATGTGACGTTGTACTTGGTACGGTGATTCAAGCGCATGCGGAGAGGATATTCTGTCGAGAGGATGCCTTCGGCTGTAGATGACAATCCGAAGGCTCTTCGTAACGGGGGCCTCATAGTGCCGAGGGCTCCAAGTGCCGAATGCTCGGTTTTCAGGCTTTGTTCTCCTGTGATATTTCTGAGCTTGATTTTGTCAATGGTAGCCTTCGGTCATGGGGCCAGAGGCACCCATTTGCGTGTCGTGGGCTGCTTGACGCTTCATTTTGCGAGGTTTGGCCCGTTTGAGCCTGTTGGACTTGATTGCAGTAGTAGGAGTCTGTGAACCGGGGGTCCCTGGGATATTCTCCATCATTAAATATTTTCAAGCTTAAATTAATTTGGATCACCTTCTTCCTCACTTTGTAGGATACGAGACTTTCAAGTGGCATCTCACGTTTAGATTTGCCCATGTGATGCCATTTTCTAGTGTTTAAAACATTGTTTTTATATTAAATTATAATGACTCTTAAATTAAATCATAATGACTCTTTGAACAAATGAGCTAAAAGTTTTGAGACAAAAAATATGGTTTATATTGTTGTATAAATGTATATACATATCGCTATATATCATTATCTTTATGTATGTACATATATCATAACTTTTTTATCTACATATAACATGATCAACACTAATTGCATCCACAAATGATGCACATACCTATTTACCTATATATAAAAATATGTACTTAGGCTATACACTTTCTAACTAGTCTAGCTACTTAAACTAATGCTTCAACATTTTGATGACTGCTGGAGTGGACTGGGAGAGTAGTCCTAATCATCATGCTCTGAGTGAATGCCAACATCTGATCAAGAGAGAAATCAAAGAAGTCACACAACAAAATGATGAGCTAGTTTTGTATTCACTATGTCTAACTAACTGATTATTTGTTAAAAAAAGTCGCCTAAGGATCTGAACACTGAGATACCTCTTATGCAGGGCGAATGTACTACACTACATCGTATCAATCTCATGGTAAAATTTTCCAGTTATAAACTACCTGTCTTAAATAGTTATAAATATATAGCAATTTCTTAAAATAGCTAGAACTCATACTTAAACACTTTATAGGGGGGCTAGCTATGAGGAATCACTTAAATGTTTTCTTTTGGACTGTTTTCAATCCTAGACCAGACCAAACCAGACTTTCATAGTTATAAAATACATTTATCAGACCAGACCAGACCAACAAATTTCAGCTCAAAAGAAAACATGCATGATAGTGTTTTCCCTTGTAACACTCACTTGTAGATAGTGTTTGACAACTCCACATTATGAATTTTTCCACCGGATTGTGTGTTATATGTGAAGCAAAATTTCATGCCAGCATTTTTATGTGATTTTTTTTTAAATGGTACTTCGCAGAGATGGCCGGAAAAATCGGTGAAGAAAGGTAAACATGGCCAAGAAGAAGAAGTAGGTGCGGTGGCCGGAGCGCAACACTGGGAAAACTATGGTGGATTGGAGAACAAGGAAAATTAATTTTTTCTTATTTTTTTAGTGTTTTTTTCTTCTTATTTAGCATATCCTGCATTTACATTAAATTCAGCATAATCACTTTTCAACCTAGTAAATAAAGTTAAATGACAAATAAAGTTATGGGTCGAGACTAAATCAACAAATGCTCTTATAGATAATAAGGATGACACGATTGAAATTAAAAGTGATAGTAAAAATATCATAATTAAGTCATAATTCCAATTTTCTACATAATTACATAAACATGTAGAAAACTAGAAAAGAAGATGTGCTCATACTTCATATATACTGCCTCAATTGAAGACTGGCATCCTTTGTTGTGGGATGCTACAGTGGTTTGAACTTAACACTTATTACTACTCCCTATTAAAGTTCCCAGTTTGATTTCACACAAATTAAGAAAAATAAATTTGACTTTACTGTGGAGTGCACTGTTTGACACTGTTTGGACATTGTTTGACACTGTTTTGCACTGTTTTGTTTCATACAACGGAAGTGTGAACTTAAATAAGGGAAATCCCAAAAAGGAAAATGAGAACTTTAATACGGACCAGAATATTTAATTCTATATTAAAAATGAAAGAACAAAGAAGGAATCTATAGAATGAACTTTTATTTCATACTTGTGCTGGACATTCTTTCATGAATATATAATACATGGTCGGTCTTTAAAGAGTTTTATTTGATTGAATAGGCAGCACGTACTAATGCATGATGAAAAGTTAGATTATAAAAAAAAATGGATTAGTTCCTTAGAATCTTATTTAATTAGTGTATACATTACATTGGACTAGACTTTACAGCTTTAATTTATGTAATCATCATAGAGTTAATTATCAAAATAGGACTAAAAGTCGTTCACTTTTCACAAATAGGACCAAAAAATAAACTATTTTTGCATAAGACTAATTATGTGTACCTTGGACAATTATACCCTTATAGCTATTAAAATGTTTTAATTCCTAATAAAATAATAAAAAATAATAAAAAATCGTAAAAAATACTAAAAAAAATAAGAAAAACATTTCGATATTAAAAATTTAATTATATTTTTTTCAAAAAATTAAAAAAATTAAAAAAAAATAAAAAAAAATAAAAACTCAACAAAAAATCGCCGCCGCCTCTTCCGCCTCAGCACCACCACCTCCAGTCACCAGGGGAAAAAAATGCCAAGTTCATTACGAATGCCATATTTATGGCAGAAAAAAATGAAAATGTTGGCATTCGAAAAGAGAAATATGCCATTTTTTTGGCATTTTCAGAAAAAAATGGCATTTTCCTAGGAAAATGGCATTTTTTTCATCGGCCGGAGGTGGTGGTGCTGGGAGGTAGTACAGGCGGTGGGAAAGGCATCCATATTTTTTTATTTTTTTTACGGAGTTTTACTATTTTTTATTAATTTTTTTAAAAATAAAATTATTTTAAAAAAAAGTTTTTGAATTTTTTATTTTATAAAAATTTTATAAATTTTTTAATTATATTTCTACGAATTTTTGAATTTTTTTCGAATTTATTATGAATTAAACATTTAATTATGGCTTTTGACTATTTTTAATTCATATTTAATGGAAGGGTAAGAATGGAATGTAAAAATAGGTATGTTTCCAATAGGACTCATATGATCTTATTTTGGAGTAAAAATATAGCAAGTCTTATTTTAGATTTTTACCATAGTTTTAGTCCTATTTGAACTAATTTCTAATCATCATAACATACTATAATTGACTTTAAAGGATGTAGTGAAACTCGATTAGATCAAATCAGACAAAAATATTGTAATCTAAAATATATTATAAGTATTATTTACTCTATATTACCTAGCTATTACATATAGACTATGAATAAACACTCACCGCAAATAATCCAGCCACCAGAATGCTGAAACCGGGGAAATGAAAAGGCGCATCATCCGAGAGAAATGTCGCTGCCAGAAAACATGGTTTTTATTTGAGGAAGGATAAGATTAAATATTCATATTTAAATATAATTCATATTTTAATTTGATGTGTTACTTAAAAAGGTTAGTGAGGATATATAACATTATTTTAGCACAGACCAAAAGAATAGCTAGGACAGGGGAATGAAAGTTACAAATAAATAAATAAATATGAAAAACTACGTAGTAATAAAAGTGGTCGCCCCTAAATCCATCATTGACAAGAATAATAATATAACACGTAGTAATAAACTACATTCCTTCGTCCCATAAAATTCTTCTCACTTTCCTTTTTGGGCTGTTCCAAAAAATTCTTCCAACTTACCAATTTTGTACAATTTGTGTGGTTCACATTCATTTCACTTTTTTCTTACACAACCACAACCATATATTTCCACTTTCTTAAGCTCCGTGCCAAATTAAAGTGGAAAGAATTTTATGGGAGGGAGATAGTATTGATTTGACTTGCCAGTTAAAGGACTGAATGCCAAAGGGGAAACAACGTTAGCCAAGGAACACAAGCCTGAAATGCATCCTTGTACCTTTCCCTGAAATGGGCAAAGGAAGTATTGAGGTGAAGTGGTTACCTGCTTCATAGACAAATAGACATATGTATTCCTAAAAGGATGACACCCCATCTCCGAGGGCCCCACAACCCTGATCGGATTATAATCCCAATCTGACAGATAGAGAATGAGGCTCTGTAACCGTTACTTGCAGAGGGCCCTATGCATTTTTAGCATAGTAACCTCTCATCGCAGTTGCCGCGATTCGAACCCGGGACCTAACCCTTGTGACACTCTCTTGCTACCAGTTGAGCTATGCCCACCCGTGACATATGTATTCCTTATATGTTGATAGTCATATATAATTCCCATAAATATATGTTGACTTGGAGTGGCCTGAAAATCAAATGGTTTCCCCGCATTTTGCATCAACTGGTTCTTCATTTGATTTGTTCGTTGATAGTGTCATCGGTCGAGCCGAGTTAAGCCCGAGTATTACATATTAGAGCTTAGCTCGAGCAAATTTGGAGCCTTGCTCGAGGTCAAGCTCATTAAGGTTTGGTTCTAGATTCAGGCTGATCTCGGCTTGTTAAAAGTCATAATTTTTGACTTTTCCAGTCAAAATTGGTAAACCTTGATCCAATATTTTAACTAAAATATTTATGTAAAATTTCATAAATTTATACTTTTATTATAGTATCTTTAAAAAAATATTTTAATATCATTTTCACATTATCAATGTACCGTGTCTAAATATATACAAATGGTCAAAGTTTAACACGAAAAATCAAATTTGACTAAATAAAAAAGGGTGGAGGGAGCATACAACTTCATTCAATATTTGGCTAACCTTTGACTTTAAAGAAAGACACGTTAAATAAGGTATTAAGGGCACTTGGACAGTTAGACTACCGAAATGCTACACAAAAATGTGTATGAACCAACCTCACAATATTTAAAATATAAAGACTTTAACATTTTCATCATCCCAAACTGTACATTTGATTTTAATTTAAATTTTGCGATTTTGTGGAATTTTTAATATAGTTTCTGTTGATGGTATTGGTCCACCTCACCCGAGTCACCTCTATGTCTTTGGTCCACCTCATTTATTATGCTGGTCTCCTATTTAATGTTCTGGCCCAACTGGGCTGGCAACCCGACCAAGCCCATTCCCCTTCCCTTGTTTTATTCCTAGCCCATGCCCGTGTGGCCCTCTCTTATATTATCTGGTTCTTTCTCGAAGTTCCTATTTGACTCCTCCCCTTCTTCCCTCTTCCGATGAGGCAATCGGTTGGTTTCCCTAGACCTAGAGTGAGAGAGATACTGTTCTCTGAGAGTATTAGCTCCGGCTATACTCCGGTGATACGTTGGGGTTCCCTTGAGGGTCTTCACTCTAGTCTGGTAGTGTGATGGGTTGGTTTCTTCTCCGGTGGGTCTTCTGGGCTGGGGTCTGGGTTCTGGTTGTGAGGGTTTGTTGGCTGTCGCCCTTCATCTTCCCTGGTTGTAACTTTGGTGGTGAGTGTGAGCAAGTCTTTGGACTTTTGTGGTGATTGAGGTCTGAGTCGGTCCGGATTTCTAACAGTTTCGATATATGTAAATTTAATTAGTAAAGTTGATGCAATTATTTACAAGGAATATAAAATTTAATCTTTAATTAATTTTAAAAACCACACATTGTAAATTGGGAGGACGTATAAGTTTATGTACATAAATCTCGAACTGATTCTAGCTCGATTATGTATCGGGGTCGATCGGTCTTATTCACTGCATTTAAATCCAAAGCAAATAAGTGTTTATGAATTAGGACGGCCACACACGGTCTTAAAGACTGAATGTCACAAATATTTTTTATTAGGTAGAAGTTATAATTAAAAGTATGTTCATGAACATCATTATAACCTAATGTTTTCATATTTATTAGCCACATTTTTTAATGAAATATGAACATTTAAAACCGTTGTGTAACGGCTGGTATTTTAGTAGCTTCAAATTTAAAAATGTATCAGAAAGTTATAACTAATGACTTAGAATTTTTTTGTTTTCATATGAAATTTGTAACAGAAATTACCTGCTCATTACGTCCAATTTGCTTTGACGCAATGCTCCTTAGCTGCAAAAACATTATACAAGCTTAATTACGTACGAGTTAGGATGTTTTTAACTGGACTGAAACTTTTGGGTCCTTTCTTTTCTGGTTTGGCCTGGTCTCAAGCGATCTGTTCAAATCTTGTCTGATTTGATATGTTTAAGTATGGTTTGATCTGAATTGAGATTAAAATAAGTTAAATTAAAAATATCATTTAAAATCTTAGCATTTGTGTGTTTTCTAATCTGAGACAAAGGAATAGTTTTTAATACTCCAATCTATCCCATCATATTTCACTTTATTTTCCAATCCAGGCATGTTAATAATCAATTAGAGACTCTAAATTGAAGATATAAGAGCATTCCGAGTATTAATTTAAGTCGAATGATAAAAAAAACTATCAGTAAGAGATTTAAAGAACCATATATACTTATTATATGATTTTTTCATGAGATTTTGATTTTTGTTTACAAATTACATAATATTTAAATTAGTTATTATAATACAAAACATCAAATTTATCAATTTTCATGATACCATAAATATTTTCAATTAAAAAAAGTCAAAAGAAGTTAAATTTGGAAATCTTACGCAGGGCATTGCAAAAATTGACACAACAGAGATAAGTGCAGCCACATAAGGAACCTGCACGCTTTAGATAAATTCATAAGAAAACAATTCTCCTTCCATTAACAATAAAATAATGTGAACAGAAAGAGAGCCAATTCAAGTTTCAACCATCTGAATTTATTAAAAGCGGAAATAACATACCCAATACGTCCAAGCAATGCTGTATAGAAACATCTGCATTTCAAGGTAAATATTCCATTAAGCTTTATAATTTCTAATTATACTTAGAACTTAGTGTCAAAATAATTTATACTAAGAACTAAGGGCCTAAATTCCGCGCATTTATGTAGGAATTTCAATCTAATGAATAAATCATAACAGAACAATTTAGGCCCATATGGGGGAGTAATTTTATAGGATGTCAAAGGCATCATTGAAAGATACTTATATATGACACAATGAAAAGCTAAGCATGTGAATATGCATCATCCAATAAGTATGTTTTGAATTAGACTAAGATTTTATATATATGTTTTTTTGTCTAATTTAGTCTCAAGACTCTCAACCGGTTTGGTCTGTTTAGGTTTAGTGCGATATAAGTTCGTCTTATCTGATCTGGTAAAGGCCTATTTTATGTGTATTTACTGTTTTCAGAGTATGTTATTGTATTTTGACTATTTTCTGCACTCGCCGAGTCAAATTTGGTGTGATGTGATTTTGTTGGTTTTACAGAAACCAATATAACTACAAACATTAAGAGGCCGTTTGGTAGCACTGTTTTTCGGCTTATCAGGCTTATCAACCAACTTTTTCATCAAACACGAAACTTTTGCTTTCGCGCGCTGAATTGTGTAATAAGCACAAAAAGTAAGGTTGGAGTTACTTTTCTGGCTGTATCGGCCGAAGTTACTGTAGATGACCATTTTAGGTATTTTTACATATAATTTTTTCTTTACTTTATAAATAAAAAGTATTTTAAAAATATGTTTTTCTTAAATCACCAGAATCAGCCAATGCAGCCACTTAAGCCAGAACTTCATAAATTTCAGCAGAATCAGCCAAATCAACCGATTTTCATGTTAACAAACGGGCTCTAAGTGTAACGTACTAATGTACTTCGATATATTTATTGTATCTACACTTCCGACAAAATTATCTTTGATGTGTAGAATTAATTCGTTTGAGGTGGTTGTGAACGACATGTTTCAGTTGTTAGCTTGTCCGCAATGCTGGAGGATGGAAACCCAAATTTGAGGTTTTCACTCCAAATTCAGCTGCTACCCAAGCCAAAATCAGTATAGTAGGGTCTTGAAGTGGATTGGGGAAAGTATGGGAACCCGCACGGGTAGCTCAGTTGGTCGAGTGGTGAGAAAATTGGACCAAGTGATCAAGGTTCGAAACCCGCAGCGACCGTGTGGAGGTTACAGAACCTGAAATAAGGTTGGACCTCTGGTGCGCACGTGTATAAGGCCTACCACCGCTTTGTTGACTGAGTCACCGTGATTAACCTCCCCATCATCCTGTCGGGTCGGGGGGCTTTGGGGTTGATCATTCAACCTTTTGGACCAAGGGAAACTATGGAAGTGAGATTTAGACGTCGGATCCACTCTCCGGAGAGAGAGAAAAGGAGCTACACTTGGTGTGCGCACCAAAGGAAAAAAATGGGTTGCATAAAAACTCAAAACTCCAAATTTCTTTAAAATGGTTTAACTTTTTTATTAATGATCAAATTTTTATAAATAATATATCAAAATTCATAACTTTTATAATCTTTCATATAACATCAATATCACATATATAAAGTTAAAATCAAGATTTCATTGTTAAAATATTTTTTATTATATCTTTAAATTATTATTTTTCAAAAATAGAACTCATTGTTAAAAATTTCACTCCAAATTTATTTATTTTTACATCGGAATGCTTGATATTTTAAATCATAATTATTTGCAAAATATAATTTGCGAAAATTTTTATGTATAAGAATAAAAGTAAGGATTTAACTAAAAAAGAATGTGTTGAGTGAATATATTGACGGTGCTGGGTTGCAGAGAAAAACTGAATTGACGGAGTGAATACGTATAAACTGGTGTTAGATTAGATATATTGACGGGCTGAGTTGCGGTTAGCTTTATAGCTAAGAAGAATGTCAGTGTCATCGTAACTTTCTTGGAAGCTTTACCAACTTTATTTATTTAATCATTTTAAAAAGGGAGATTTCCCAAAATAGGAGTAAATGAAGTTTGAAATTCCAAAATAGGACTACTTTGTTTTTATTCCCGAAATGGGACTAACATGGCAGTATTTACTGACATCTTGTAGCCGTGACTGCCAAATAGTTGCAGTACAGTGCATTTAAAATGACAGTATTCATTATAATTAATGACAGTATTTTTCAATCATGGCTGTATGTTTCATACATGACAGTAATAACTCTTATTTCGGGAAGAAAAACATACTAGTCCTATTTTTGGAATTCCAAATGTCATTTGCTCTTATTTTGAGTAATTTCCCTTTTAAAAAACTTTGTTAGTTTCGTTTAAATAATATACAATTAAAATTATTTCTCTATTTTGCATAAATTTGAACAACATAATTTTTACTTTATTATTGTATATGCATGTTAACTTTTGTTAAGTTTTAGAGGATGGAAGGGGTAAATGACTACATACATGTGATTATGTGAAATATCTCATCCCCATTCTAGCGACATATACGCTTTGTGCTTAAGACATTAGCGTGCTTACAAAATCCTTACATGAATAGAGCTGAAGAAGAGCCCGATTGAGAGGAGTTTTTCTTCTCCAACCGCAGGTACTAACAAAGGCAAAAGAACCAGCTGCAACATTTCCAATAGAAAACCAACTAGTGAGACTAAATTATTAACAAAGAGTCTAAAAAAGTACTTCATTCGTTCACACTTTGACTTCACATATTTTTTGGTGATACGGAGTATAATATTTGACGTGGACTTTTCTCTTGTCCCCTTATAACAAAAAGTAAAAAGGGAGAACTATCAAATAAGTTCTCGAACTTTCATAAAAAATACAAATAAGTCCTTTTACAGGAGGCTTTGTTCGACTGTCGCTATTTGGGGCGGTTTCCGGTGGAATTTTTTGATGAAATTTTTTGAGCATCTTCTTCATTAAGGCTAGTTTACCTATACCAAATTTCAGCTAAAAATGCAATCGAGAAGGCAAACAAATGATTTTCTGAAATATATTGCGCTGTCTAACTGCGCAGTTATCTTCAAAAATCTATTTGACTGCCTTCCCGATTGAATTTTTAGCTGAAATTTGGTATGAATAAACTAGACTTAATAAAGAAGATGCTCAAAAACTTTTATCAAAAAATTCCACCGGAAATCGCCCCAAAGTGCGACGGCCGGACAGAGCCTCCTATAAAAGGGCTTATTTCCACTTTTTATGAAATTTCGAGAGCTTATTTGATAGTTCTTCCAAAGTAAAAAGAGGTAAAATCAAAGCAAAAGAGAAAATGACTAGGTCAGTTGTGGATATAAATGTCTCTTGATATAAGAATGTTTACCTTAATGGAAGCGTAAACTTTAATTTTAGTCTCCTCAAAAAGAAAAGTGTGAACTTAAATATGGAAGGAAGAGTGTATTCTAAAATTTTGACCCCTCATAATTTATTTAAATGTGTCATAGTCACTCTTCAATTTAATTCAATTCAAATTTCTTTATCTGTCGATGAAAGCATATATACCTGTGATACTGCCCCTGCAACACCGCCGATTATCATCAAATCAGCAAATTGATTTTTATCGAAGTGAAATTGCGCCTTCAAGTAGTACTGCACATCATAGTTGATGTAAAATTAATATCTCTACCATTATACTACCTCCGTCTCGTTATGATTGTCTCGTTTTACTTTATCGGTTCGTCCCACTAAAATTGTCTCATACCAAATTTGGTAAAATTTGTGTGTCTCTAAATCATTCTTACTTTATTCTTACTTTATGAATTCAATATCAACCACATAAACCACTTTTTATTGATTTGCGTGTCACTCCCTTTTGTCCCATTGTTAGCGGGACGGAAAGAGTAATTAAGTAATTACACTTAAAATCCTTCTGGGCCTATTTGTCATATTTATTCTTTAACTCAAAATAACTTTTGGTACTTTTCAATTCGCTTCTGTCTTTCTTCCTGAAATAAAACTCATAACTCTCAGAATTCTCTTTGTCTAAAAAACACCATAGGCCAAGCTATGCTAAATTATGAATTTAAATGGAAAGCTAATAAACAAGCTACTAATGTATAAATATGTATTGGCTAGGATGGAATGAAACTTACAAGTAGTGAGGCTTGGAGACCAATGTCAGCTACATTTATCAGCACTGAAACTATTGCTGCTCTGGAGATAGTTGGGCTGCAAATGATGAAAAAAGATACTTGAGTTAATATGTGTGTGCAAGTGTGTGTTTTTAAAGGAAAAGGCTTATAATAAATAACTCGCAGATCATCAATTAGACAAGCACTCCCAATTCGGATACAATTCGGTTACAAGTCATAGGATTAGACATAAAACTATTCACCTTTGAAATAGTATAATAACTCGCTAACCACTGAACACACAACTTGAAGCTTACAATGTTCAAATAGATGAACACGCCCCTCCAAACATCTCTAAATACTAAAATGACTTTCTTTTGGATTAATCCTTATAATATTGTTTCGAGTTTAATTGTCTTTTTTAATATACCAAATAATAAGATTATCATTACTATTTACATATACTTTTTTCACGAGTTTAAATAATCACAAAAGGTTATAAACATCTCGTAGCTCGATGGCATCATTGTGACATCTTAAGGAGGGGGTCATAAGTTAGAACCTCATCACAATCAAGGATGTTGGCATCCAACAGAACATATACTATAATATGTGAGAATGTACAACCAAAAATTACATTAAATACGTGTTTCAACTCAATCAAAACTAATTACCTCGTCCTTAACAAGAGCAATGCATCACTGAATGAAGGCAAGTTCCTAACAAATTGCATGCTTTTTTTGGGAGCCTTTTCTAGAAGACAATGAGTCTCAGTTACTTTGATTGAAATGACATCTTTTACCAAAGACTCTCGTAGAAATGTCCGCATGTATAGTAGCGCTATCATCGCCATCAACGCTGCAATCTGTGCACAACATCATAAATAGTTGTTTTACACTGTTAATTAGGTTTAATAGTACAAAAACTACATTTATCTCTTTATTCAAATGTGTCAATTATATTGAGATAAATTTTGTGGAAATGAGGAGTTCATTAAACTTTAGAGATACGAAATACTCTTCAAGTACATGCATGACATAGAGTGTGTATGCGTGTAATAGAGATCAAATACAAACCCTCCTTAATTTACAAAGTACAAACTCACCCTGACAATTCGATGAGTTAATCTAAAGGCTATAGAGACATGGTGACATTTTTGTAATAAAATCCAACTTGTTTAGGATGTAACTCTTTGAATGTTAATATGCAACTGCTAATTTATGGCTGAATAATATGTAACTCATTGAACGTTAATATGCAACTGCTATTTTATGGTTGAATAATATGCAACACTTTGAACTTCAAAATGCAATATAAATAACGTAGAGATGCATCGTACAAACGTTTGCACAATAAATACAGTTTGTACTTGATCCGTCCTCTCTCACTCTATACACACACAGAGGGAGAGAGAGAAGTTCATGTCCGGAATTACGGACAGGAACCACAGTTCGGACGACGGCGTTTGCCCCCATTCTCGATGGTATTTTTTACATTTTATGCCATGTTCTTCATCAAGTTTAGTTTATCCATAAAACATTTCACCTAAAACTTCAATCGGGAAGGCAATCAAATAATTTTTGGAAGACCCGATTGAATTTTTAGCCGACATATATATATATACACACACAAATCTTCATGTCCGGAATTCCGGACGGGAACCCGTCATCCGGACGATGACGTTTCGGCCTCTTCCTGGGGGAATTTTTTGATGAAATGTTTATGGCATGTTCTTCATCAAGTTTAGTTTATCCACAAAAATTTTAGCCAAAAATTGAATTGGAAAGGCCGTCAAATGATTTTTTGAAGTTAATTGCGATTTATATGTATATTTTGGGAGCAATTATCTTCTAAAAATCATTTGACGGCCTTCCCGATTGAATTTTTAGCTGAATTGTTTTGTGAATGAACTAGAATTGATAAAGAACATGTCATAAAAATTTCATCAACAAATTCCATCGAGAAGAGCCCCAAATGCCACCGTCCGGACGGCGATTCCGATCAGGAATTTCTGACCGGAAGAGTAGTCTATATATACATATACAATGTTACATAGTTTCCTTAGTGGCTGGATGTGTGCTTTGTTTTCTCTTTTTTGAAAACTAGAGAGATATCTGTTAGGATTGGAAAATTCTTCTATTCATAATCAGAATAAAATTACAATGGGAGGAGCAACTCTCTCACTCAACTATTACAAAAAACTAACCATTTCATACACTCACTATATGTGTATCACTCTCACTACTTTTCTCTCCGATTTTTGACGGCCAAAACTTTACACACATGTCAAACGATGCATTTCTATTTTACATGCAAAATATTTTACTGCCCCAAACTTTACGTGTAATCATTTTGCGTGTAAAATTTTAATTTGTAAACTACCAAACGGGCTCTAAGGTAATCTAATTAACATCAACTCGGTAATGTTCTCAAAAGAATCTTAGATAACTCAATTGAAATCACTTAAACTTACTATTCTCTCCATCTCGTAAGATTGTCTCATCTTTCCTCTTCAATCTGTCCCACTAAAATTGTTTCATGTAAATATGGTAAAGTTTGAGTGGCTCTTAATTAGTCATTCTTACATTATTCTGAATTAGTTAATTACATATCAACCACATAAATTCATTTTTCTTATAAATAAACACATCTCCTCTTCATGTTATAATGTTAGTGGGACAGAGGTATTATATATATAGCATGGGAGAAATAAATAGGTATGAAAAGAGGGAGATAACAGACTTGGAATGTGGAGGCAGTGGAGAGAAATCGAGCAGAAAGATTTCCACAAACAAAAGCAGTGGAAACAATGCCAGACATGATTCCGAAGGCGGAGCCCCGACGACACTCTGAAACATTATCTGCCTGAAACACAACCCCGACCAGTGCACAAACATTAAATATAATTTTATACATTAAACAGATTCAACCATTCCATCTATAAATTTTATAGTAGTATAATTTTTTACATGGAACAAATTAAGCCATTTCATCTATAAATTTATCAATTTCAGAAGATTCGACCGAATCGGCCAATTGTAGTGTTATCAAACGACTCTAAATTTGCTATGTTTGGACATATTCACTAGGGCTGCAATTTGATGATCTTGTGCCATCTTGTATGATGTCTGCCTGTCTGGTGTATGTGTTTGATCTAGTCTAGTAAAATGTGTAATTACTATTATCTTAGTTTGGTTTTGTTTGAATAATGTCTAATATTCTCTATTTACATGCATTTTATCAAACAAATTCATGTAAATACTGCAAATATTGTTGAAATAACTCAATTGGCAAATGTAAAGAAAAGGGAAAAAAGCAAAAAAAAAAACTATGAAAAGTAGTTATAAATGTGATTTGGCTTACCACATAAGCAAGAGCAATGCACTGAACGCTTCCATCGCAAACCATGGCAATTAGGGTTCTTAGTATGTAGTAAGCATAGAAATAGTACTTGGACCTGCTGTATGCCATTATCACTGTTCCGCATAACCACATAATTTGGGCGTTAATTAATTGAATCGTAAGAAAAATGTATCTAAGTTAAAGTTAAATTAAACTTGATTGAAGAATAACATCGTAAATTATATGGATAATTCTACATCTGAGAATGATACAGGCAGATTTTTAAGTTTTTTTATATGCTATTTTCCTTGTTTTCAATTTTTGTGCACATTTGGTCCAATGATCAAGGTTCGAAACCCGCAGCGGCCGTGTGACCTGTGGAGGTTACAGAATCTGAAATAAGGCATGACCGTTGTACCTGTGGTGCGCACATGTATAAGACCTACCGCCACTTTGCTGACAGAGTCACCGTGATTAACTTCCCCACCATCCTATTGAGTCGGGGTGGGGGCTCCTGGGGTGGGAGATTCCACCTTTTGGACCAAATTTTTGTGCACATTTGTTACATGCACGATTGAAGTATTTGTCTCACGTCGGAAAGTTATAAAACCATAAAACATTATACGTAGTACGGAGTATAAGGTTTTGGGCTACTCCTCTTTTGTTTTTTAAAAAAAGTCCAATGAATTTATAAAGTATACAGTGAGAAAATGTTACCTAGTGGGAAAATTGAGAGAGTCAGGGGTATAGTGAACATAGTTTTCCTCCCATAGATATCAGAGAGATTGCCTACCAACGGCATTATCACCAGCGATCCCAATCCTATTATCTGTTCAAGAGTTGAAGCGCCACACATCATAATTCATATTTTATTTCTCCAAAAAAAGAACAGTTACAAATGAACTTCTATTTTTCTTTTGAGAAGAAGGAAATAGGAATAAGTGTATCACAATGTGAAAAAGGCACAGTTTGCAAACACTTCCCAGTTTTTGGCTTAAAAGAAGCTAAAAAGAATGTTTTCAACTGACACCTTCTACTTAAATTAATATTTAAAAGCTAAAAGCTAGAATCTGCTTCTTACTTTTTCTATTTTTTATCAAACACTACCAGCTTTAACTTTTCAAAATCAATTTTTTCTCAAAAACTACCAACTTTTATTGTTAAGCATTTTTTTCCAAAATCACTTTGAAAAGTTCAAAAACACTTATTAGTAATGTTTGCAAACAAAGCCAAAGTAAAACTAAAAGATTGTGTATATACGTCGTACAATACTACAGTTGAGGACCTAGGGGGCATGAGGTAATTTAAGCGAATAAGCTCCTTGCTTCGATCTTCTACCTAAAACAGTTTTATTTTTAGTAATGGGTTGTAGAATTATGCCCCGCTTTTAATCATTTGAAACATCTTTGTGCTTATATAAATGTTTAGGCTTAGATAGGCATCGACCTAGTCCAGTCTGGTTCCAGTTCCGAGCCGAGACCGACCAGTCTTTGCCAAAAAATATAATTACCAAGTGTCCGCTCGCTTTATCATGGTCTCGAACCGGGTCAAGTAGACCAGTCGTTCTGGTTCCGGTTTCGAGTCGGCAATGATATGTGCCCAAAGAATTGTGTACCCGAGATTATATATAATATATGAATATATTAAATATAGATGTAAAATGAAGATTGTATGAGTAGAGAGAATAATAGAAGTAGAGAAATTGAGTGAATGACGTCAGAAATTATATGAAATTGAGTGGATATTTATAGATTTTTAGAAATTGAGAGAATGTCAATTAAGCTCGTCAATTCAAATATCACCTAATTAAACGTATGGACTTATAAAAAAATTCAAATTTGTTTTTTACTGGGTAATCATCCGGTCACAAATAAATAGCGACACGTGGGGACACGCGAGGCAAATTTTTCTCTCTTTCTTCTCTCCTTCCTTCCTCCGCTCATCGTTGGCTCTTTTTTCTCTCTTCTTCCTTCTTCTCTCCTTCTTCCTTCCTCTTTCTTTGCCCTGGTGCTCTCTCCCGTTCCCTGTGTTCTTTTGCTTTCATTAATCTCTCCCAGCTTAATCACAACCCCAAGCTACTCCATGTTTCTCACTTTTCTTTGTTTTTTGGGTTTTGACATACCCACCCCATCGATGGATACACAAGAAAAATAAGAACAATAAATAAAACAACAAATTAATGGAGAAGATCAGCACTTCATGAGACAGAACGTTGGTAAGAGAGGAGGACAACATTTGGTGAAGAGGACAGGCGCTCTTTGCCGGAAATTGGCCGAAGAAGACGACCGGAGATCAGACTGATTTCTATTGCTTCGCCGGAGGTTGACCGGGGAAGAAGATCGGTGTTCTGATCCAATGGGCGGCCAGACTGGGAATTTTAAAATAAAGAAGGAAAGAAAGAAGGGAAAGAAAGAGGCGCAGGAGAGGCGGGAGTCAAGCAAGAGAAGAAAAAGGAACAGGGGAAGAAAGAGAGAGAAGGAAAGTAAAGAAAGAAAAGTAAAAACAATGAGAAAAAAGAAAAAGAAGAAAATACAAAAATTAAAAGCCACGTCATATGCTTTTACCTGTTTGTGGATCTAATTGAAAAATAAAGGATGACAGATATAGAATGGGGCTCTGTCCCCGATACTTGTAGAGACACTCCCTTGCTATCAGTTGAGTTACGCCCACCGGTGTCTAATTGGGTGATATTTGTGTTGATGCCCTTAATTGACATTTTCGTAGTTGTAGAAGCCAGAAGGGCTTATTTGACACTTTTTCCTAAAATAAGTACATCTAGAGTTTACTTTTTTTTTGTTATTTTAGACCTATATTTTAAAAACATAACCAGAAGATGTAAAAACATTCTCCACAGATATTGATTTTAACATTGGGATCTACTTAAGAATAATTTTGAGTCTAGAGATCTCCATTAGATGAAATTCATATAGTTTTTTAACTTTATATATGTGATATTGGTGACATATGAAAGATCATAAAAAATTATAAATTTTGATATATTATTTATAAAAAATGATCATTAATAAAAAAACTATACCATTTTAAAGAAATTCGTGGTTCTTAGTTTCTATGGAGCCCACTTTTTTTCTTTGGTGCGCACCCCACTCTAGGGTTTGCCTAACCCACCACAATACCCCACTCTACCGATTTTGGCTTGGGTTGTAGCTCAATTTGGGGTGAAAATCTCAAATTTGGCTTTCCATCCCTAGCATTGCGAATAGCCTTATTGCGATTAATTAAAGCAGAACAAATTAGCTACCATACCAAATTAAGTTAAGTCATCTCAAGAACATTTTCAAATTATTATCACATAATGTGTCTCTTTTAAAAATAATATCACGCCCACACCCTCTAATTAAGTCACTTTCAATTATCATCTCAAAATAATTTGATCGTTTGTGGGTCCCACATTAACTAAATAAAACTAATTTTACAAATAATTTCAAAACAATGTTGATATATACTTTGATCACGGATTATTTTATCACATAATCCCTCCCGCTCAATCATGCTTCAAGCAATAATCGGCCATGTCACCCATCCTCCGATGAGTGCGTATACCGTGCAACCGGTATACGGTGAGAACCGGGACGGATTTATATTTTTTTTTTCTTTTTGCTTTTAAAAAATGGTAATAACTTTTTTATTTTTGATCCGATATTTATAAAATTTATATCAACATTTTTTATTTTTCATGATCTTTCAAATGAGACCAATATTGCCTATGTAATTTTAACATATTAACATTTGTGTGTGAAATATGTAACTGTAAGTGTTAAAATATGTAACTCACGTTCAGTCAAGTCAAATGCAACTCGTGTGTATAAATATGTATCTCTACGTGTAACAATGTGTAACTTTACGTAAAAAAATATGTAACTCGCATTCAGACAGGTCACATGCAACTCGTGTGTATAAATATGTAACTCGCGTGTATAAATATGTAACTTTACGTGTAAAAATATGTAACTTTACGTGTAAATATATGTAAGTCGCGTTCAGACATGTCAAATGCAACTCGTGTGTATATATATATGTAACTCGCTTATAAAAAGATGTAACTTGCTTATAAAAAGATGTAACTCGCTTATAAAAAGATGTAACTTGCTTATAAAAGATGTAACTCACTCATAAAAAGATGTAACTCAATGTATTATCAAATGTAACTGAGGTCACTGATCCACTCCCAAACAAATTCGATCTTCTATTTCACAAACCTATCATCTCCCAAACAGATTCGATTTTTCTTATAATCCAATACTCATTAATATAATAGTTCGATAATTTCTTAAAATTACATACACAATATTGGTCTCATTTGAAAGATCATGAAAAATAAAAAATGTTGATATAAATTTTATAAAAATCGGATCAAAAATAAAAAAGTTATTATCATTTTTAACATCAAAAGAAAAAAAAACTTTTTGATGGTGCGGCGGTTGCACCATATAATTTGCCTCCTCCGATAATCATTAAACTAATAATTTGATCATTTGTGGGTCCCACATTGGATCGGGTACTAGTTAGTGAATTCTCCCTTAAGTCAAGATTATGGAAACTTTTTGCGTCACGAGTTGGCTTTACCCAATATATGGTAATAACTTTTTTTGGCCGAAAAGAACTTATCAAGTTCATAGATATATAAAGGATTCTCCAAAACTTATTACTACTTAAATAATGATGCCACTTTGGATTGATGATGTTGCTAAGTTACCAAACTTTAATGGGAAATTTAATCCATACACGTTTTGTAAACACTCCATATATTTTGGGCTTGTTTGGCAATCGGCGGTTAGCGGTTAGCGGATTGTGTTAGCGGGTTTTAAATAGTGGATTGAGTCAGCGGGTTTGACCGACGGATTAGTTTGGCGGGTTACAGAAAGTTGTTTGGTAACTTAACTGTTTGCTTTTAGCGGTTAAAATATGAAAAGACAAAAAAGGACTTTTGGATCGACAATATTTGTTTCTTTGTTTTTTTGTTTAATACTACGTATGATCTTATAAGTATACTACTCCGTACTATGGAATATATATATATATATATATATATATATATATATATATATATATATATATGTATGTATGTATGTATGTATGTATGTATGTATGTATGTATGTATGTATGTATGTATGTATGAGTTAACTAATAATTTTAAAAATAATTAAATAAAAATATAACAATTGAAATGGATAGGTGGACTAAAAATGGATGAGTTAATAGGGAGAGAGAAGAACGGGGGAGAAAATTGAGAAAATTGAGGGAGGGATGAAGAGAAGAATACAACAAAAAAGCTTGTGATAATTTGGGGATCTTTTCATGCGAAGTTGCCCGGCCATTTTTTCTTCAGATGAAAGGTATATCATGCAGGTGTTTGACAAATAAGAGCATGTTTCTTACATTCCATTCCAAAAAGTGTATATTTTAGAAATTGATTTACCTCACTCTAAATTAATTATTTTTCTTTTTTGAAGCTTAATAACTTTTTCACTTGTTTTTCATTGTTTACAAAAAATATATTAAAAATCTTAACTTTTTATAACCTTTCATATGACACCAATATTGTATATATAAAGTTAAAAAAACTTCTAGGATTTGAAATTTCTTAGGTAGATATGAGTGATAAAATTGAGATTGAAGTGATAAATTCAAGATCTCACGATCAATGTTTTTACATCTTTCAATTATTCTTTTCAAAAATAGGCTTGAAGTAGTAATAAAAAAACTACTCCCTCCGTCCCATAAAATAAGTCTCATTTTCCTTTTTGGGCCGTCCCAAAAAATTGTTCCCATTTCCCTTTTTGGAAAGTTTTGTGTGACTAACATTCATTTACCTTTTTCTTACTCAACCACAACCATACATTTCCACTTTATTACCACTTTCTTAAACTCCGATCCAAGTCAAAGTGGGACTAATTTTCCGGGACGGAGGGAGTAAATGACAAATTTACATAATTTACATTGGGAATGTTTGAATTTTTAAATCATAATTATTCGTAAAAAGAATAAAATCGATTATAATAATAATCGTAAGGATTTAATTTACAAATATTGTCGTGAGTGAATAAGTGTAAAAAATCATGTGATCTGAATTTTAGTACTTGGATCTATTTAATAAAAAAATTGGGTCCAAAAGCTCCAACAGTTCAAACTTTTTTTAAAAAAAAAAACTTTATATATGTGATATTGGTGTCATATGAAAGATAATTAAAAATCATGAGTTTTGATATATTTTTTATAAAAAATGGAAAACAAATGCAAAAGTTATAAAGATTTTAAAAATTAAGGGATTTATTTTGTTAAGGGTTCCACAACATGTTGCGCCGTACCAATTTTTTACACTTTTTGGAATGGTTTTCCAAAAAGTTGCACTCTTCCGTCATTCTCTCATGAAGAATAGGGAAGGATACGGTTGAGAATTGACAATTAATTCGGAGCCGCTAATCCGTAAACTCTGCACTTTGAAGCGTTTTGGTTTTTGGCGTTTCAGACCAAAACGTCATTCTAAACCGCCATCTCCCAAACACTTTATTTCAACGTTTTGATCAATTGCAAACGCCAATTTTATTCAAACCCGCCCATTTTTGGCTGAAACGCCATTTACCAAACATGGCCTTTATCATTATCATAGATAATCAGGGTCGATCATGACAAATTATAGGTCCGGGACAAAATTATAGATGATCAGGGTCGGTCCTAATCAGTGGAGGACCTAGGGGTCCTGGGGGGCAAGTGCCCCCGCTTCTAAAATTTAGTATTAGTAGTTATGATAAAATTAGTACCCCGCTTCTTGATATAAAACTATGACGATTAGATATGTAATAATTATGTCAAAGAGCATATGTAAATTGTTGTAAGACATTTAAATGACTACGGAGTTATGATGAAGCGATTTCATACAGTTAGACATGTTCTTGACGCAGTCATTCTTTGAAAAGTGGCAGCGGTGGTTATTTTTTGTGAAGCATGGATTATCTTTTTCCAAAACTAGAAGTCAATGATATGACGAAACTTCTAATATGTGTGGTCAGCTTAATGGATTTAAGATTATCTTAAATGAAATTCCACATACATGATACTTCGTATATTCATTGTTTTCTTGCCAATTACAATTAGTTGTTGTGGCTATTGTACAAAAAAAAGTTTGTGGATACTTTCTTTGGATATTTCTCCCTCGTCATGTTACTAAAATGTTGGGATCCTCTTGTAAAATAAAGGGGTATTCCGACAAAAACATCATGATATCATAAGAGAGCTATTAGAAAATGGTGTGACAGTAACAAACGGGAGACGATTGAATCAAGAAATTAAAGTAGTTTAGCTTGGTCGGAGTTACATGTTGGGGTTCACAATTTAATCCCAAGTTGATGAAGGAATTTTGGACACTGTAATTCTATGGCACGACGTGTAACGTTGGACACTATCCTAATTCGAAATCAAAATTCTGACCATTTGTAATACAAAACCAGAATAGGTGTCAGGACGATTCAGTTCTAATTCATATGGAGTATTATGTTTTTCTTTAAAGAAATTGAACATTATTATTTAGAATTGTTTTAATGGGTTTAAAAGTAAACCTGGTGCACATAGATGTAAATCATTTGAAACTGAAATTAAATAATGTGTTTTTGTTCAAAAAAAATGTTTACACATTGAATAGATTAGTTTTACACCTGACCCGGCTCATCTTCGTCCATACAGTAGTGCCCCCGCTTGAGAAAAGTTCTAGATCCGCCACTACCCCTAATCATATACTCCGTGTTGTATAGATGAATTACAAAAGTTTTATTGTCCATTGAAAACAATTTCTTTAGACATTCTCAAAAGCAAACTTGTTAATTAGACTATCAATTTTTAGTTCTCGGCTTTAGAGAGAAAGGTAAAAGTCTTTCGATCGTGTTTTGCGTGTAGCTCTGCCGTTGTGGCTCAGTCTACGAATATGAGGGTTGAGAGATATCTTTTACGGAGTATTAGAGTATAGAGAAATGATCCGATTAGGCACCCCTGACCAGATATTATATACAATCAAACCCGTTTGAGGGGCTTCTGCATAGAAATATTTTGATAAAATTTTATGAGGAAGTTTTTCATGAAGGGTAGGTTATGTCTGCAATGTTTCAGCTTAAATTTCAATTAAGAAGTTAGTTAAATAAATTATTGAAAAACATTGCACTTTTTATATATATAAAGCGTAATGTTTTTCAATAATTTATTTAGTAGACTTCCCTATTGAATTTTGTGCTGAAATTTTGTGGCCATAATATACATGAAAAACATGTTCACAAAATTTCATCAAAAAAATCCATCTGGAAGTACCTAAAATTGGTCGGCCGTACAGAACTCCTGGTCCGACGCACCTGAGGTGAACATAACTCTCTCTCTATACACACACACACACTACTACTACTACTACTAGATAATATATGGGGCCCTCTTCCTGGTGGGCCCTGGGCAGCAACTCAGGTTGCCCCTATATAAGGACCGGCCCTATAGATGATTCCTTTAAAAAAACAAAAAAATATACAAGCACCTACAAAAACAACGTGTGTGAATAAAGAAATTAAAATTACTGTTTTTAATAACGTGTGTGAATAAAGAAATTAAAATCACTATTTTTGAACTATAAATTCACGCTTAAGAGGAAGTGAAAACAAATGAATTCTCGAGTGTTTGAGGTAATTTGTAGAGTGATTATATGAAGAACTATCAAATGATTATTTAATAAAACTACTTATAGTGGAATAAATTAAGTGAACAGTGATTCAAAACTATTTTGATTTGAGTTTTAAATTGTTTAATTTAAGTACAAAATATATGTTGGGAATATGCCATTTTAAAGCTAAAACCTGACAAAAGAAATAAACGAAATTCATAAGAATAATTCTTATTTTGAGTGATTTTACAATAATAATATATACTAAGAGTTTTCACAGAAATAAATTGGGATGAATTCAAACAAATATCCACTTAACACTCTCAATCCCTACTCCATTTTTTCTCTTCCCCTCTCTTTTTCTAGGGTGAATTCAAAGAAATACTCATTTAATCTCAACACCATTACCATTATATGTAGTTATTCAATTCGGCCCAATATATTCTTGTGTAAACGTCATTGCTATTTCGAATTTTTATTACAGAAGCTCTCAATATGGATTATTATTATTTTAGAATTCATGAAACTATGAATTATTCTTACAAATTTGGTTAAATAATTAAGCAAACAAAAATACTCCCAATACGTCCCTGTTGGCAGAGTTTTCTAATCACTGAAGGAAAAAATATGACAAAACAAAGCATTGTAAGAAGCAGAGTAGTCTGTATACAAATAACTAAATAAGTACCGCTTGTTGAATCCCGGAGAGGTAGATGGCTAGTGAGCATTCATCTTTTCCGGGGCAAACCGCCGACATCGTAATGTCGGTAATTGCCGGAATCACCATGGCCGCCGAGAAGCAGCTGAGGAACGCCGTCATGAAGAGGTGGCTCAGCCCTGTTGCAACTTTCTCCATTGCTGCTGCTCCCTGCAGGCTTGCTCTGTTGTGTAGTAACTTTAAAGACAAGGAAATGATATCTAGTAAGCCAGTTTCTGTCCCTACTTAAAAGAAATTGGAGCTAATGGATGGGAGAATAAATTGGAGTTTAAAAAGGCAGGGCTCTACACCAATGATAGCCTTTATCTTTGCGTACAAAAGATGAGTAATGAGCAAATTATACATCATGTAAAAAGGAAGGATCAGCCCATTTCATGAGGGCCCTCCAACAAAGATATTTAACTAGCTATGGAAGTAGGGAGTCAACATAAATAGTACTCCCACCTTCTCGGTCATTTCTTCCGGTTTTGAATTGGCTCGCAAATTTAGATAATGAGAATAAAGTGGAAATGTATGGTTGTAGTTGTGTAAGAAAAAAGTGAATGAATGTGAACCACATAATTTTTCCAAAAGTGGAAGTTGAAAGAATTAATTGGGACGGTCCAAAAAGGAAAGTTGGAAGAAATGATCGGGACGGAGGGAGTACTACGTAATTATTAGTCAAGATATATTTTTTGTCAAGTTGATCGATACATCTAATATCCAATAATAAAGTAAAAATTATGCTATTAAGATTTGTATGAAAGATAGAGAAATTATAGAAATCATAAATCAATTTACTTAAATGGAAAGTATCAGAAATTGTGGGATAATCTAAAAAGAAAATATGACAAGATTATATGTAGTATTAGGGATGGAGGAAGTATGATTTTGTGTGTGGTATACCTTCACAACTTGGGAGTCCTTAAGAAAATTGAAAAGGATGAAAATTGAGATTTTGTATGAATATAGAGCCCGTTTGTTAACTCTATTTTTTGACTTATCAGGCTTATCAACAAACTTTTTAACCAAACACGTAACTTTTGATTTCTCACGCTGAATTGTGAAATAATAAGAAAAAGTAAGGCTCAAGTTACTTTTCTAACCGTATTGGCTGAAATTACTGTAAATGATCATTTTAGCTATTTTTCATATAATTTTTCTTTATTTTACTAATAAAATAAATTTTAGATATAATTTTTTCATAAATCAAAAGAATCATCCAATACAGCCACTTCAGCCAAAACTTCATAATTTTCAGCAGAATCAATCGATTCAACCGATTTCGGTGTTACCAAACAGCCTCATACTAGGTCAATGAGTGAACATGATTAATACTCCTTTCATCTCATTTTATGTGTCCTGTTTTGATTTGATACAATTATTAATAAATATAATTGAAAATTTAAATGTTGTGGTTGATTATTGAGTACGTAGAATAAATCATTTCATATATTTTGGAACAAACCAAAAACAGAAGTAAGACACAAGATGGGACCGAGAGACTACAATGTACACCCTATATAACAACCCTAACTTGATTTGATTTTTTAACTTGAACACCCAATTTTAAGATGGTATTAGAGTCGACCCGATTTATTATCATGTTATATGAGACTAAAAATATGAATAACTAAAAATGATTATATTGAACTATTGAGTGAATAATAGATGACTAATATTAGAGCGTCCTGTAAAATCTTAAAACTCAAATTGGACAAGTCTTCTAGGCGACTATTTGTGTCAAGAGGAGTGTTGGCGAACAACAAGGCACATAAATGAATCTTGAAGGTTGAGAAAAGAGAGGATATAAGACAAAATTGTTTTGTACACGCCAAGTTTTACATGCCGAGTTACACGTCTGTCAAATTGTCTGTGTACAGACAATTTGATCGACTACACAGACATATTGAGCGGCGATTTACGAGAAAAACTGATTTTCACACAGACAAAAAAAAATGTCTATATCACAGACACTTTATGAAAAATTCAGGTTTAAAATGTCTGTGATACAGACAACTTTTGATATTTTGTCTGTATGAAAATCGATTTTCTTCATAAAACGTCGGACAAATTGTCTGTCTAGCCGATCAAATTGTCTGTATATAGACAATTTGACCGGCGTGTAACCTGGCGTGACCCGGCGTGTACACAAAGAGGGACTCCGGATAAATTTATGACTTATGAGTGCCTATCTCCCTTTTGTCCTCTTTCTTCAGAATTTCTTTTGAATATGTTTGATATTCCGCATTTTTCTTCAACATTTTATTTTTCTATTATAATAATACTTGTCTTTACTTTTCAAACATTTCACACTACCCATGTTCGTGTAATGGACTTGAGAATGGCTAAATCATAAAATAAGACCTCCTATTATAATTATATATAATCAAGTAAAAAAGAATGAATATTACACAAATATTATGTAAACTCAGTGAGATGGATAAAGTATGTAGACAAAGAAGAAGATTAAAAACAAGTGAATTCACATAAGTAAAAAAAGAAAAAAACTTTCATTGAAAATGCTTCTGTTATTCTTGAAGGGATGTGGTTCTTGTATATTGAAAGCATAAACATAAAATAATAAAAAATTAAGAATGACTTTAATTGAAATGTTTTCAAGCTTATATTAAATTAGAGTTGAATAGACGAGACCAGACCTACATAATATTAAAATAAACAAAACGCGAACTTGTAAATATCTTAAATAGACAATTACAAATTCCTTTCCGATGTATAAAAAAATAGACAATAACCAATTCAAACAAATCATATCGAATTAGAATAAATTTTTTTAATAACATCTTAAATAACAAAAATGCTAAATATGTAATGAGTAAAGAATGTGAAACTCAATTTTTGAATTGAAGTTAAGAAGAGTGTCATTGTACACACTCCTTTTTGTCGTCCCATATTCCTTTAGTCATGTGGCCTACTTCATGATAATTCCTTTTGCCATAGATTCGCTTGTTTAATTTAATGTAGTTCCTTTTTCAAAGTTTGTTGATGAATTTCACATTTTAGAGTCTTCAAAATTTGTGAGCCATGTTCTTTAAGTTTTCTATTCATTAAATTTATTTTTCTATAAAGATTTTCAATCCTCTCACCTTGGTTTTGTGCTGCTCCTTTCTTAGGAAAAGAAGTACGGAGTATATTATTTTTAATTCTTATCCTCGAGTAACAATGAGGTTTATAAAAAGGAAATTTTTTGAATAGAATTGAAACATGATTTTTTTTCTATAATAAATCATTATTATTTTATTCTCAAAATATGACTCATTTACACATTACACCTAAATAATTATTTCTAATATTTTCTCTCGATTGTAAAAGTAGTGTTTTGTGAATAAAGCATCTTTAATCCTATTCCTTATCTTGGTTCATGATTTACATTTACTTTTATCTTTGGACTTTTTTTATTGGATTAGGTTTGGCTTTTAAGGGCGTCTTTGCATGTAATTTTTTTATTGAACTAATTTGAGCCATGATCAAATTAGATAAGAACATATCAAAATTAAACAGATCATACCAATCAGATCACATTAAATCAAACATCGATATTAGTAAAATACACATAGAACAACATCTACCGAACCAAACTAGTCCAGTACAGACCAGACGAGACTCGACTATACTTAAATAGACCAGATTAGGTCATATCAGAACAGAAAATTTTAGTATAATTAAAAACATAATGAAATTGAAATTTGCAAGTCTAATCTGGTCTAATTTGTTTAAGTTAGATCATGATAATTTAAATCTTTTCTGATCTACTCTAGTCAAAGTCTGATACATGCATTTTCTTACTATTCTGTACATACTTGATCTACTCTTTTGCATTTTGATCAAAAGCTGAGGGTTTTAAGGAGTCATATACTTCCTCCGTTCTTAAATAAATGCAACGGTCAACATTTCACACTTGCCGAGACACAACTTTGACCATTAATATAAATGATTTTATATTAGTAAAAAAATTTAAAAAATTAGATGATGAAAATTTACAATGAGACAAGTTTAACAATATTTTTTCATAAAATAATATTATTACATTAATAAATAAAACGTAGTCAAAGTAGAACATGTGAATAATGTAAAAGTCAAAGTGTTAGATTTATTTAAGAATGGAGGTAATATATACTCTTCTATGGAGCCATATGACCTATGTTGGCATCACCATAACCACACATTTTTTTTGTAGGGTTTCCCCTAAAAAATGTGCGATAATAGTGACACAATGACGCTATATATGACTCCATAAAAGATAGAAGAAGTCATATATGCCTTTCTAAAAAAATTGGTCAAAAGATTAGAGGAAATGTGACTGATGCTTAGCTTCGAATGCAAGTTGGTAGAGCAGGGCGTACCTCTGGTTGCTTTTGCTTTTGGGTTAATTAAGGTTGTTGAAGATAAAAACAAAAAAACAGAATCATAGTAATAATTACTCCCGGACATTAGAAAGCGTGCAGCGGAGGTTTACATAGGAGGAGGCGTACAAGCCTCCGCGACACGCACCTCTCGAAACCTCAGATCAACCTTGTTTGGTACTACCGCCCCGACCCATATATTTCTCATTTGAAAAATAGGTGAGATTTAAAATAGTGAAAGGAGATACTATCCTCCCTATCTCATTAATTGTAACATTGGAATATATACACGTACTATTCATGTACTGTTAAATTCGTCTCATTACTAAGTTTTACAATCTAATTTTTATTTTATTTTTACTAATACAGAATTAAATATAATGACGGTCAAAGTTGTGTGTTGGCAAACGTGAAATATTGACTGTTGCAACTAGAAAGAGACGGAGGAAGTATAAATTATTGAGAGTATGATGGGAAGATAATGAAATAGTGTGTTGGAATGAAGGATAATCCAAAAAAAGTAGTTGTAATAGTGTATTATTTTTAAAATTATCGCTGGGTATGATAGGAAGATTTAGAAATGGAGAGATATGAATGTTACAGCTAAAAAAGGAAAGTGTGAAGATATGAATGTTACGGAGGGAGTATGATATAAAATATAGAGTAATTACTTTTCATGTCAAGTGGAGGGCGTCATAGGTTTACACCGTTTGATTTGGTTATTTAATGTAAACTGTAGATCACTTTTTTAAAACATTTTTTACTATACCATGTAAAGTATTTTATGTGGGGGACTGTGGTAAAATATTTTGCATGCTTTTTATAAAGCACTGCAATGTCTTTGTGTGCAAATTAAAAATAAATTACACATCTAGCCAAACAATGTAATCTATTTTACATGTAAAGTGATTATGTCCCTAAATTTTATATGCAATCATTTCTCGTGCAAAGATTTAACGTGTAAACTACCAAACGAGCCCTTAAGTTTTCCGAACAGTGCATTTGGGTGGGCCATTCTTAACAAATCCCTTTCTGTACAACT